ATGTAGCAGTAGCTTCATCTTCTAAAATTGTGTCGCCGGGGAAAAACTAGGAACTGGAGGAAAAAATTATGATTTAGACGATTTTCATACGTGGCGCTATGAGGCATTTAAATGAACGACGTTGACGTTGTGAAGAAAGAGATTCCTGCCATAAATAAACTTTGGTTGGAATTGAAAGGTGATATTGATTTTAAATATGGCAGAACAACATTGAGTAGTAGCTTAAAGACTATGGGCTACGAATACAAAAGGAGCCAGTTTAAATGGATAAATTTATAATTAATGTCACAGGCCGACATATCCGAGTCTTCTGATGAAGACCAGCGTGGATTCTGATGAAGATGTGAGAATGGAAGGCGTTGACCCACTGCAGGACCATTGTTACACCAAATTTACAAATAGATCTAGGTATTCAATAAAACATTTACAAGGTTTCCATGGACATTTGATTTTTTTTTCGTTCTTTATAATAAATATTTTTAAAATACCTTTTTTGTAAAATTCATTGTAGACACAATATCAGTGTTCATTAATCATAATAATAATCATTTCTAACACGCATATAAGATCTTCACCTATAATTATGTAAAAAAAATTTGCCAGTTAAATTTCACCAACTTTTAGGTTCTCGATGGAGCGAAAATTTTGCATATACGTTAAGTTTAGATGAAAATAAGTGACCTCATTCTAAATCCAATATGGCGGACTCCCAAAGACGGAGGACTAGTTAATTTTTGTGCATTCCAATGATATGGATACTAAATAAAAGACTTTGCTGAGAAGAATACCAAAAATAAAATGAATTTTTTTTGTTTTTTTTTTCTCAAAATCCCTCGCATAAATTAAACGTTTTCAAATGTTTTTAAGGAATTATTTATATTAACTTAAATCTTACCATAGAAACTTGTGATACTTGTGTCAAACTTACGGAAGTTACAATCAAGAAATATATTTATTATGCGAATTTCAAACAATAAATATAGGGTTTAATATTTATTAGGTCTTTGTAAGTTTAAGCTGAACATTACATTTTTTTTAACTGAGCTTCGGTAGTCAATTCGGTCATTTATGTAATTTGATATAATTATATAATTCTAGTAATAAGATTAAATGAAGGAAAAAAATATTAGTTAAGCTGGTAACATTGAGTACGCCATCAGTCGTGCGCAGAGTTATCTTGTGCACACTATAGTGCTGTGGTTTACTACTATTTTATTGTTTATATTTTATTTATGTACAAAGAACATATATAAACAGAGTGGAAGACAGCAAAAGATTAAATAAAACATACCAGATTATAAAGAGTCATTTATTGCATAAAAAAACCAACAAAAACAAGTTATTTCGTGTTATCGATATATAAACTCTTGGCAACCCTTTTTTTTTTCGTTGGTATTTATGTATACTCTTCGGTTTGGCGTACAGGACACGGTAATGCGTTTTTGGCGTGGCGGTTAAAAAGTTAAGGACTTTTATAATGCCCTGATCCATCAGTAGCAACTTGCTTGTCGCATTCGGAAGTAAGTAAACAAGCGTGATGTTCTTTAGTTCAACATCTCTAGGGTGAGCGGGGCAGTTATCAATGAAGAGAATTATGCGTCTTCATTTAATATGGAAGTGATCATCTAAAGCTTTTAACCAGTTATTAAAACGAAGGCCAGTCATCCAAGCTCGAGATTGTGCATCATATGTTACAGTTTCAGCTACTTTTTTCTAAAAGTCATGAATAATCCTGAACTACTTACTTCTGGGCATAACAACCTTAACAAAAATGTTCATTCATAGGGTCATCATCACCCTATAATTTCGTATATTTTTATTTCCAGTATTGCGCATTCTCATTAACACTATCGCAGAAATTTTTATTCAAAATTTATTAACAGGTGCACCTTAGAATAAAGAAATAAGGTTGAGTATTGCTTGTAATATAGGTTGAATATTGCTTGTGATATTTTGTCCATGTTTAATCACGTTTCTATGTGAAAAAGGAAAAATTTCACATGAGTATCCTGTTGTCTGACGATCGGCCAGAATCTGGCCGATGAATTATCTTGCGCGTCTACTAAGCGACCAGATACTGGCCGATCCATAGCTGACTATTTGGCGGGTAATATTAACTTCGACAATGATTGCTATCCCTTTTTCACTTATAGAAAATTATAGACCAATGAATGAGGACCCGATACAAAGCTTCTAAAGTACTTCAATGTTTAGAAATTTCGAATAAATAGCATGTGTCGCAGTCGTATGTGAACGTCGCCGTCCATGTGACTTTGAAAAACTTGTGTTGTAAAAAAAATGTGTAGGAATGTGTGATTTTTTTGCTTTTTTATTATAAAGTAGTGTATATTGATGTAAATAAATTACATTTATTTTATTAGTTAATGATTTTCTTGTTTAATTTTCACGAATTATGTACTGAATACTATTAAAAATTCGGTTGCCTAACTTTGAAATTAGAATAATAAAATCTCTTAGGTTGTATTCAACTTTGATAACTACGGAGTAATAGTAAATAATATAACAATTCAAATGACATACGTTTTATACATAGCTTCCATAAAATATTTTAGAGAAATTACTAATTTAATCGCCACGCGCTGATATTGCGTGGTTTACCTCCTAAGGCCCTAGCAGACGTGACATTCTCGCAAAATGGCCGCCACTAGACTAGGGGGTATGGTACGAAACACCTCTATTCGAAATATTTTTCTATTTAATTTCATTGTTACACTCCCCAATATTGCACAAAACGGCATATTTTCGCATATATCACTTAAATAGCAACCCGTTAGCTCGCAACAATTTGAGCTTGCGACTGACAGTCAAAAATCTACTGTCGTTAAGTTAATTGTGCAGCCCACTTTGGGCTTCGTTTTGTTTTTTATATTCCGTGAGAAAAAAGCAGTTGCCAATCCGCTTGCCTAGTGGTAATTATGGTAAATATCCAACCTAAGTGGCAATCTATGGAATAGAATAGAATAGAATAGAATATTTTTTTATTCAATATACATTACATGTGTAATTCTTATTGAAAGTCATTTTTTACTTTACCACTGGTTCGAAAAAACCCTCTGTCCTGGGAAGAACCAGCAAGAAACCCAGCGGGACATTTTTTTAAAATAAATTTTACAATATAAATGATTACGAACTATTTACAAAATTTATTTTAGAAACTGCTTGGAAGCGATCACCTCATTCCCAGGGGTTATTATCAACCATGTATTCATTTATACTATAATAACCCTTTTTATACAGTTTCAGCTTAATGAAACATTTAAACTTGGTAATAGAGAGAACCTGTATACTTTCCGGGACCTTGTTGTAATAGCGTATACATTGCCCCAAGAATGAATTACTGACTCTGTGGAGTCGAGAAACTGGTATCACTAGCTTGTGTTTGTTCCTAGTGTTTACAGAATGTATATCACTTCTTTTACTAAAACTATCTTTGTTTTTGTGAACATACATTAAATTTTCGTAAATATACTGAGAGGCCAAAGTTAATATATTAATTTCTTTAAATTTATCTCTAAGGGACTCTCTCGGTTTTAGATTGTAAATAGCTCTAATGGCCCTCTTCTGTAAAACAAAAATAGTTTCTGAATCAGCCGCATTTCCCCATAGCAAAATCCCATAAGACATTATGCTATGAAAATAACTAAAATAAACTAATCTAGCTGTCTCGACACTAGTGAGACCTCTAATCTTTTTTACAGCATAGGCTGCAGAACTTAGTCTGCTTGCTAATTTGGATATATGGGGGCCCCACTGTAGCTTTGCGTCAAGAGTGATGCCAAGAAAAACAGTGGATACAACAGGGCTCAATTCCTCCCCATTTAAAAACACATTGGTATTAAGATTTTTAACATTCGTTGTTGTAAATTTAACACAATTAGTTTTATTTCCGTTCAAATGCAGATTATTAACGTTAAACCAATGCACTAATTTTGATATAGCATTATTCACTTCGTCACATTTAAATGATTGACGTTTAAGTTTAAAAATCAAGGAAGTATCATCAGCAAATAATACAATATCATGACTATCCCCTACAAGGTGAGGTAAGTCATTAATATATACCAGAAACAGGAATGGGCCGAGAATCGAGCCCTGAGGAACACTCATTAGTACAGGTGACCCGGAAGAACTTTTACCATTGATAATAACCTTCTGTTTTCTATTACTTAAATATGAAATAATAAGTTTAAGCGCTGTGTTCTTGACACCATAGTACTGTAGCTTCCTGATTAATGTCTCATGGTGAACACAGTCGAAGGCCTTGGAAAGGTCACAAAATATACCCAAAGCATCCTCTGAATTCTCCCATGCACAAAAAATATGTTTAATAAGCTCAACTCCAGCGTCAGTTGTCGAGCGACCCCTTGTAAAACCGAATTGATTTTTATGTAGCAATTTATTAATATTGAAGAAACTTAACATCTGATCTAAAATAATTTTTTCAAAAATTTTACTTAATGTTGGTAGTACAGAAATTGGTCTAAAATTGGCGGGGTCTAATGTACTACCAGATTTAAATATAGGTATGACTTTACTATGTTTCATTAAATCAGGAAACACACCAGATTCGACGCTTATATTAAATATAGTGGCTAGATAAGGTGCTAATGTAATGGGGAGGGTTATGTTCTGCTGTGGACTTTTGATAGACCGTAATGGATTATGGGTTGGTTAGTAAAAATCGTGTTAGGAGAAAACATTTATTTTGCAAAAAGAAATTTAGTTCTGTAATAAAATTCGTATTTAGTAATACAGTAAGTACTTATTATTTGTTATATATAAATAAATCTCACTTAGAAATAAACAAAAATAATAATACATTGTTTTATTCGAGACCAAAAAGACTCAAATTTCATTTTTACTTCATCAATCTAACTTTATAATATAATATACATAGCGTACTCTACGAAGGGTGTCTATTTAAACATCGTATAAATAAAATTATCTATAATTATATTTACATTCACAAGTAGACTAATTTACGCGTCTAAATCGTCCTCCCGTTGGCTGGAGAAGTAGCTCACGAGACCTCCGAACACACTACCCTCCTCGCGCGGAGGCTCGTTCACTCCCTCTTCCACTTTTATGTGGTCTAACGGTTTCTGAGGCTCACTTTTATTTACACTACCATCTATACTCAGAAACGGTTGTGGTTTATGTTCCGGTGGAGAGGGTTGATCCATTTCACTTTCTTCTTTATCATCTGGTTTCGGCGATTCACGGTCCTTTTGTTTATCTGGCGATTTCACGGTCAACTCTCGAGGGAGTGCTTGCGGCGGAGTGTTAGGAACTACGTGCTTCTCCATCTCGCCTCTCTGCATATCTGGGTACTGGTATGTCAAGTTGCCCGGACTCGACCGACCCGGTTGCGGATGCCGGATCATGGGCATGCCGTACGGCGGTCTCATCTGAGGTCGCATGTGTTGAAGGTAATGCGGAATTTGGTCATGCATTATGGGCCTTTCGGGCCTGGACATGTGGGGCCTCGGCTGATCCGGCTTGCCATCGTCATGTGATGGCAGGTAATGGGACATGTTCGCGTGGATGCGTTGCAACGGTGACGGGTGTTGCAGTCTCGCTTGGAGATTCATCGCACTGTCATGGGGCTGGGAAGCTGAGGGAGCGTAGGGCCCATACGGTCCGTACTGAGGGGCGTAAGGCCCGAGGGGATATCTCGGCTTCCTGTCCTTGTTTTCTGTGTGCTTAATCTTCGGGTGGTTCCGTGGTGGTTCGGGGGATGGGGGGCGTTGGGAGGGTGAAGTTGGTGGAGTCCGATACTCAGGCTCGGTTTTCACTTCGGCTTTGATTTGTATGGGGGGTTCGTTGGCGCCAGGTATTGGAGGCGTGGGGCTAGAACTCGTGGTCACAGGCACGTTAGGGGTGGACTGTGTCGACCGATTGGGGGATACGGACGGGGCTGGGATGCGAGATTCATGGACCTGTTCGGGAGTTTGTCCCGCCACTTGGCCTCCAGGTATAGAGCTGGGAGGCATCCCGTGAGGAACAGTACTAGGCGGTCGAGAACCATGGGAGGCAGGTCTTTGCATAGATATTAATGGCCCATTATGCCCAGGGGGACCGCGGGATTCCGGAACTGGCGGACCTTGGAGAGCGAGCCCAAGTGGTCCATGAAGCGGAGCAGATCTGAGCGGGTTAGATTCTTCTGGACCGTGGCTAGGTCCCAGTGGACCGTGTGGGCTAGGTCCGGTTGGACCATGGATGCCAGGCGGACCAAGATGACTGGATCCATGGAGTCTTGGTCCAATTGAACCGTGCGGGCTCGGGCCGACAGAACCGTTTGCATTTAGACCGGGAGAACCTGAAACTGCGCCGTGAGGATTTATAGCTGGTGAACTGTGAGGTCCACGAGGGCCTTGAAGACTTGAGTGTATGGTTGGTCCCATGGGACCGTGGGGACCCATTGGATGCATGTGACCAGGCGGTGGACGAGGACCTTGCATATTTGGTGGAATTGGCCCATGAGGGTTTTGACCCGGACCGTGTGAAGAAACCGCAGTGCCAAGAGGAGACGTTGAAGGTGGCCCATGCTGTAAACTTCCTGCCGATGGTATTGGAGAAGAACCGGGTTGCCCGTGTGGACCATGAGGTCCAAGTGGGCCGTGTTGAAGAGGGCCTGGCCCAAGTGGTCCGTGTGGGCTTGGACCAGATCCATACTGAAGAGGAGACGATACGGGCGGTCTGTGTGGTATTGAACCGGGCGGACCGAGTTGTAGTGGAGAAGATCCGGGAGGGCCGTGCTGTAGTGGGGAAGATCCGGGAGGGATATGTTGAAGCGGAGAGGGTCCAGGAGTACCGTGCTGCAGCGGTGACGACCCAGGAGGTCCATGTTGGAGTGGCGAAGATCCCGGTCCCTGTGGTCTGTGACCGGGCGTGTGTTGCATTGGTGCTCCCTGTGGTCCGTGCATGGAGACCGGTGGTCTGTGTGTCGACAGACTCGGTGGACCCATGGGGGGTCCATGGGGCCCAGGTGATCCGGACGCGGGGTGGCCAGGCCGCATCTGGCCCGGATAACTGGGAGGCATACCTCGGATGTGCTGGTAGTAACCCTGCGGGTACTGAGGTCTCGATACGTTCTGCGGGTGGTTGATTCCAGGATGCAGTTGGTACATCATGCCCTGGGAACGTGGTCCGTAGGGCGACGCCCCGCCAGAGTACATCATCGGACCTCTGGAAACAATTGTTAAATTTGTATTAGGTGTAAAATTAGAGAGGTCTTATTTCTAGAGGAAATGGAAAAGTACAGGGCTAGCCCATTAAGGATGAATTGGAGAACTCTCAAAGGTGCAATGTGCCTCACAATGTTTATATTCACTACTGAGTATGATAACTGTATTTAAAATGATTAATAACGTGTATTTCAACGTTTTTTTTTTTTAAATCTAGTAAGATCAAAACTCAAACATGATAATCACGATATACTTAATAAGTTAGTATAGTACAGTCAGAACAAATCGCATCCTGATTTTTAAGGCTCCGTGGTAAAATTACTAATACAAAACACTCTACCACAATATTTCGGACTGATTATGAGGCCATATAGCTCGAAGAACCGACAACTGATGGTGAAGCAAAGTTCTCGAGTGGAAACCCCGGAACGCCAAGTGTGAGGCGGCCTCTCACTAGATGGAGTGACAATCTAGTAAGATATGCAGGAAGTCGATGGATGGTGACTCAGGAACGTTCTTTGTGGTATTCTTTGGGGGAGGCTTATGATCAGGTTGGTGATGATGGTGGCGATGATGATGATGATGAGTAGTAGGAGGAGGAGCAGCTTCACCGGCGAAGTGCAAGAACATGAAGTTCTTGTCATACGACGGAATCACATTTTACTCACGAAATACTATAATCAGTCGATGTATTTTAAATGCGGAAACTGAAAACGTACTATAGATTTTACTAAATGTCACTTCCATCCGAAAAAAGATCTAAGTTGCCTCAAGTAAAAATATATAAGTATATATGTTTTCCTCACCGGTACTGCTGGTTGAGCATGTGGGGCATCCTGGTGATGATGCTGGGCTCCTCCGCGACCGGCTTGAACGGCTGCGGCGAACCTGCCACTGACAATGTTCCTGACGGTCAAATGCTGCATTTAATCACATTTCATTTCTGATATGGGCTTTTTTGAAAACCTACGGGGATACCCAAATAACCTACATATTTTTTTTAAAGAAGTAGAGGCGCACGAGCATACGGCTCACCTGATGGTAAGTGATCACCGCTGTGCATGTACATCTGGACCACCAGAGTAATTTCAGATGCATTTCCGGCATTTTAATATGTAGTATTTACTTTTCTTCTATGTCTCTAATACCAAATTCTTATATATCAACTAACGTCTCATTCTGTTACTATCCATTTAATTATGAAATGCATGTTTCTTGTAGTCAGTTGTTTTCGGTTTTAGATTATCAGATCAAGAAGCTGTGAGACTTTACATTTAAGTCTTAAGAGGTGACGATGCTTCTGTGGATTTTGAAGTTATTGCAGGTGCTGGGTGCAATACCTACTACACTACCAGCCTCTACACTTCACTACAGCCATGGCTTGAAGTAGCTATTTACAAGCAGGTACACTGTTAGGTGATCTGACACTAATATTATTAAAAAAAAATCAATCAGACAAACTTACCTTCCCGCATGCCCGTAGGCGCCTGTTCTGGACGTTGCATCAGCTGCATACGATCATCGCCCATAGCAATGCCTCGCAGTTCCGCCCGCACCTGTAACAAATACATTTATGATATTAGCTATATCATTGATGCTTATTAGATTATTTTTATTTATGTAAGTTTAAAAAACGTTAACAACAGCATAAATCATAAGCTGTTATGATCCTAATTTACTACTGTGTTTGCTAAAATTTCATATTATTAAATCGTTTGGAATCGGAAACAATAAATATAACAAACCAAGATAATAAATATTACAAAAGAGATTTAAGGGGATTTAAGGAAGAGAGAGAGAAGAGGGGAGGGTCAAGCGTACTCTCATACCTAGACGTGCATGTATGAAGAAGATAATGAATCTGAAAGAAGCGAAAAAGGTATGTAAGGATCGTAACAGTTGGCGATCTGTTCTCTCTGGCTACCCCGTCAGGGATTGTGCGTGAAGATAAGTAAGTAAGTACAAAAGAGATGATCGGCTGGCTTTGGTTTTATAGAGCGTCATCGGAGATGACTCATTTCCGTCGCAAAAAGTGCTAACAGTCCAGTATCCTGTGTCCAGATCTGTGAAACAATTACGTATCATTTTGTAATTGTATATGAACGCTTCAAAAATAATAATAATGCATTATTATAAAATATTTGATTCATAAAATAAATTAAAAATAAATTCATTGTAAATAATTTTTCGTGACTAACTGTGTAAAGGTTAGCCATTTTTATATTAAAGACATAGTACTATTTTAAATTTGTGGTTTTAAGAACTCTTTAAATATATTAATAATATCACATTCACACATGCGTGCTCATGGTTCGAGGAATTGTTTGGCGAGATATTTGTGTGGCTTTAGGCTACACAAGTGACCGTTAACATATTCGCGCCTATTCATTTTTATTTCAGCTTGACGAAATGATTGACGGCGTCATTCTAGCGGTTTTTGCATTGCATTTGCAAAGTCAGTATAATTATTTAGACCATGTTGTCCTCTCCTGCACTGGATTTTATTGATATGAGCTTTCTTCATGCATCGATGTGTACGAAAAATAGCCATCAAAGATTTTTTCTTGCATTGTATACTTTCTGCTTATTCATAAGATAGGCATGCTTTGAATTCCAAATAATTGGTTGACTTTGGTAAAGCTCCAAAAACATCATAAAGTTTTGTTGGCCCAGTCCATTTTGTATATAGGTTAGGATAGGCCGTTAGTTATGAAATGAACTAGAAAGCGAATGTGAAATATTACTTCGTCTCATCGCTCTTTTCTCTTTGATCTGTCCAAAAAACCGCTTCCGACGCGAGCGTCACGATCGGCGACGCGAAACACGAGGCGAATGACGAACCACCGTTTACTTATTATTCGTGCTCGTGTCACAACTCGTCGATCGCTTCGTCACTCGAGCGATTTTTTAAATGCGGCCCTTTATATACTTTTGCACAACGACAGACAAGTCATCGACAAATCGTCACAAGTATGAGTGAGAGAGACAACGCTCTATGAAGCTGTGGTTGGCCGATTATCTCTTTCTAAAGATCGCTGTGAAATATTTACTTAGCGTACTGTACATTCAAACAGTTATTAAAAGCATGTTAAATAAAAAATATTAATTATAACACTTAAAGAACATGCATGGATCATATGATAATCCCAGTCATAGATAGCCAGCGACGGTTAAGTAGACCTCAAAGATGATATTGCGCTCTCGCTTGCACATATTAGTCTGATCAAATATATACCTATATAAAAGCATTGATTAAAAAAATGAATTGGTAATTTTTAACTACTATAGTTGGCATGAGCGACCTAATTATCGACAATGCGTACAGTACGTGCACTCTTGTGCTTAATCGTTGATGTCTATATTACAGTTGTATCAGGGCGCTGGCACTCGTTATTGGCCACGCGTTAAATGTCTACCGCTAGGTGCGTTTCCCACCAAGGGCGTCGCCAGCCGATCGTCTACATTACTACGTCGTTTTGATTTTACTACATTTTTTTAATCTGACCCCCCCCCCCCCCCGCCCTGCGATGCCCTTGCTTCTGGCCACACGACGGAGCGCTTGCACGACAAGTAATCGCGAAATATAAATTTTTAAAATGGTACGTAAATGATTGCACAGTGGATGGATGTATAAAAGTAGAAAGCCAGATGTTGAATTGTTATATTTTAAATTTCCTAAAGAGGAAGAAAGGTAAGTCTCTAATTTTGTGTTTAATTTAACTAGAATGGGTAATACAATAATTGCTTCGATTAACCGCTACGACTATTTAAGTTATAAATTTGAAACTTTTATAGTGTTATAAAGTTTAATAACAGAATTTTGAGCAGGAAAAAATCATATATCATTTTATAAAACTTAAAGACATATAATATATGTAATTAATAAATAATTAGTAAAAGTGCAAAGTCTTAAATCTTTTTTATGAATATCGTAGGTAGGCGGAAGAAGATGCTATCTCAACACTCATCATGGGTCGTTTCTCAACGTAGCGAACAAATATTATTACGGTATAATTATTCTGGTTTTGTAGGCTACTATAGCGTAGGTATTTTCGTTTACTTAGTATGTAGTAATAAGTAGCTAATCTGTGGTTGTACGCCTGGGTCCGCTTACGTTTAAATTCTATAGTTTCTCGGTTCTGCTTGATCTTCACTGGCACCAATTAAATTTTTTAAATTAATTTCCTTTCAGAAAAAATATTGTTACGGCCTACGGCTGCTCCCTTAAAGGGTCAAATCCTCAGGGGCCTATGAGCTGAAGACTTCCCGAGCACACGTAGGTCGGGCCTCAATGTGGCCACGTGGAATCTCTCTAATTACACTAAATATACGGGGGAGCGTTCTATACTACGGCCAGTCAACCGGCAGAGGAATTAGGCGAAGCTTACTTACCTATATCCAAGGCGACTGGTCCCTCCGGAGTCGGTCAGGTCACATGTGATTGTGTAGTGAAAGGGAAAGAAGGTGATGTGATGTGTATCTGGGTGTGACTGCGGGTGATTGAACCTAGACCTTGGCCGTCGGCAGCAGCCCGAGTGTCGACACCGCTCCAACTTGAGGGGGCCTTCCGAGGCGTTGTCCAAATGCTGCACCGCTTCAGACTGCTTCGGCGCCGGACCACAGTCACTTTCCTCGTTCGTCACGATGACAGTCAATTAACTCTATCGTACGATTTACTAACTACAGAAGCCACTAACTATCGCTGGTTATAAGGTTAAAGCACAAAACGCACACGGAGTTTCTGGATCAAAGGTCACTACCGTTTCGCGATGCAACAGTTAGTTCTAGAATATCAGAGGCCGCACTAACTAATATTGTCGAATGCACTTATACAGATTCTGAGTCGGACCCAATAAGTCCCGGGAAAGGCTATCCAAACAGGGAACGCGCGTTATAAATCCTAGTCGGGATATTTACTAGACGCCCTAACTATTCCGCGGTTCCCGCACAAAAATGACAGCGTGCTGTTCCAAGCACACCTGGCAGACGACTGCCTGCCCTTGTGCGTTTTTCGCACGACCGAAAGTCAAACCAGTAAGAATGCCCCGCGCCGAGCGCCCTCTCGCGTCAATCCTTGAAACTAGTGCTTGGCGCGAACAAATATTAAAAATCATGAGTTACCAATGTGCGCACGCAATGCGTGCTCGTTTGTCACCCTTAATATCCACTTTATTAAATGTGTCGAGCTCACCTGCAGGCGGGGGGTGGTGGGGAAGCGGTCCCGGTACTCTGCGGGGGGGAGGGGCTGACGGGGCGGTGCCCCGGCTGCCACGGGGAGGGGCTGCCCCACCAGGCTGTAGTCGGGCTTCTCCCGCTTTATGCGGCGGCTCTCCTGCAGCGCGAGGCGCGCGAGCCGCTTCTCCTCGCGCTCCTTCGCCTTCTGCTCTTTCAGCTTCTCCTTCTCTTCTTTCTTCTGTAAGCGTTCGATCCGACGCGCTTCCTTTTCCGCCTGTTTCGCTTCTCGCTCTTGTCGTTTCTTCTCGCGTTCCGCCTGAAAATGTTTTGTTTAGTTTATAATTATTTTTAAATGATCATAACTAATTGACACTAAATTATCATATCATATAATTTGAATTTATAACATTAAGTAGTGTTTAGAAACTTGATTGATAGTAAGTTAAATTAGATTTTAGATATATATCATACAATTTTATACAAAATGCTTGCCAGTACAATGTATTTTACCATAAACTAAATTCATTCCATTCTACAAAAAAAATGATATCACATAATAATATACTGTTACTATTTTAACATAGCTTAAGTAATCCGGGACTAGATGAAGTGACAACCTAATAAGACATGCTTCCAGCATTTTCTGCTTGTTGATGGTTCAGGTGGCTCAGGACCGTGCTTTGTAGCATTACTTGGAGGAGACCTATGTTCAGCAGTAGACTGGATTATGCAGAGATCAAATTGTAAACATTTTTCTTTGGTAAACCATAACTGTGTAAGATTAAATGTTATTAAGTCCATTTAATATAGGATGAGTTGGTAACACTTGTAGTTATTTAATAAATTATAATTTAATTAATAGAAGCAAATACAGTAATACTGAAACAAAGGAACAATTGAGTTAGAATAAAACCATACGGACATTACGGTTTACGGATTTGTGACGTTTTGGGTGCTTTATGGCACCCGTGGTCACGGAGAGGGAGGGGGGGGGGGGGTGGAGTTGTTTGACATGCTGATTTCATCATGTCAAACATCTTAGAACTAGAACTAGCCGATAGTATCTTGAAGTCTTGCAGAGTAGCCTGGGTTGGCGTTGGGACTTTGGATTTAATTTTATCAATTATAGAATCATATGTGATGACCTAGCTATCTTCTCTTATGAAACTTGAAGGTTATTTTTCAATAGCATCGCGAATCGTTTTATTTCTATACACAGTATGACCGATGGTATAATTAGGATTTCGAAGGAATAAAACATCTAGGAAATCTAAACAATTATTTGTCTCTAACTGAACTGTGAATTAAATTTTAGAGTTTATGGACTCCAGAAGAAGATTAACCAGTTCTTACAGTCCGTTAAGTGTATTACTCAATAAAATATATATACTCGTATATCCCTCTACAAAATGCAGGAGAGTTCACGGTTGATTGTAAATGTGGTCTCTCTTGCAAAGGAAAAAGATAAAGATCCATAAAAACCCGCATAAAATAACATATTGCAGATATGAAGCACAGACGCTCCAGGAAGCCTGAAGAGAGTCAACATATTCAGGATCGTCCTAACCATTATATTACATTTGATAGACCATTATCCTTTGAAAAGAACAAAGATTCCTACTAAGGATGATTCGTTATTTCTAATTTCAATAGAGAAGACAATAGTGAAGATGGATGGCTTGCTTGAGATCCCATATTTATTGAAATTAAATCTAAATCAGAAATAATTAAAACTATAATTGACAAGAAATTCATGTGTCTATAATAAATATATATGTGCTACATTATTTTTTATATTGTTATAAGGCAAGTAATTAATTTAGTGTTATAGATTTTCATGTTTGTTTAATATTCTGACTTACTTGATTAGGTCTCATCGGCATTTCACCAGTTTCTCTTAGATCTGTGTAAAGATAAAATAAGTTTTAAAATTATTTCTTAAAAAAATGCAATGAGTATGAGGTGTTACAAAATGTGTGGGGCCTCGACCAGGTTTTTGTATACTATAGATATGTATATATAGGTATTAACTCATAGAACAGTTTAGTTACTATGGCTTTGTTTGCCGATTCAATACAAGAATTTACACTTAAAATTGCAATACACAACAAAAAATAACCATTGCGGTAATATATTGTGCGACATATGAAATTTGACTTATTATTAGTAATATAAGTGACACCTTACAGCTGTTCACTTAAATTTATTATTCACCGTCTTTTATAACTAAATTGGTGAGAGACGCCATATTGCAATTTGTCTAAACTAATTGATTAATAAATAATTTTGTACTTAAGTATATAGTGTTATCGTTACAGAATATCAAAGTCCATTGCTGAACACAGGCCTCCCTCATAGATTGCCTCATTGGGGGATATTTGCTATGGTAGCCACGCTTGTGAAGGGGGTCGTCAAACGCAGTTTTTTATTTTTAGTCGTTATTAGGAAGACGTTGCTGCCCATCTCCTGATTTGTTACACTCTGTCGCCTCTTACGACACGTTTGGATATTCTTTCATCGCCACTGTATTATTCAAGTATATTTCTATATACATATATATATATGTCTAAATAAATAAACCGTCAAAATAACCGCATGTAGAGCTGTATGATGGGCTCCACAATTCGGCGTGTTGTGGAGCCCACCATATAGCTCTCTATCTCTCATTTGAACAAAAGTACGTAAGTAGGTTTCCTGAGCTTTGTGGAAAAAAGAAGCCGATGCCGCATAGAGGATCCGATTTCCAATAGGTCAAATAACTTTAAATCGGTATGTGAACCAGGTTTCTGAAAACACAAAAAGACACTCATCGCTCCCGATTTCCACTCCTCTTTGATAGTATTCCCTAAATATTTTTGTTTATGTTTTAATATATTTTTAGGTTAAGGTATATTATATTGCTATGGGCCTATGTTTTTAATTTTAAGCCCTTGATGCCTTGCACGTTGAACATTTTTAAGATTGGGGTATGATGGGAGATATCCGTTCTGGATAAAAATCCCTAAATAAATAAATAAAAAGAAACAAAATGAACATGCGTACCTCTGATCTTAACGCCGACCAGCTTGGCGAGCGCGTCGTCGCTGGAGGGCGAGCGCGCGCCGCCGCCCCCCGCCCCGCCGCCGCCCCCGCCGCCGCGCCCGCGCCCGCCCCGCGGACCCCTGCACACACATCAATATTTATTAGCTGTGCCCCCCCCCCCTCCGGGTACAATATCTATCGCTACCTTTAATATAATACCTCCTCTACTGTCACCTGTCAGACACATTCGCGTACGCACGCACAACAATCCACCAAAGTTTTATCGTGATTGGATGAATTGTATAGAAATGCAAATAGGACTAACTAAGCAACATCAACCAATGTAGATATTACTTTGTTAGAACACCAACGTGGCAGAGCCACGCTGCAGCTGTATTACGGTTGCAGCACGAATGGGTCGGCTCGACCGAGGAAGGACCACGCGTTCACATAATGCAAGCGTAAAATAGTAGCTAAATGCTGCTGCGTACAGTGACTTTACAGAACCAGAGATCTTTTTTACTGGTAACAAGGCATTTTACAACACTTCTACATTATCATTCTTAAAAGAAGAGGACATTGACACAGCATCAGGTAGACTCTGTGTTATCACCCTTATTCTATAAAATATTAATTTTTATGTATAGATTTATCCTTTTTGCAGTCATACTAAACTTAAAAGGCCTGACATAATGACTTTTTTTATAAGAGGGTTCAAACGAGCATGCGATTCACAAGATGGTAAGTGACTACCGCCGCCCATGAAAAACTGCAACACCAAGGGAATTGCAGATGCGTTACCAGCCTTATAAAAAGGAGTAGGCTCTTTTCTTGAAGGTCCCTAAGTCGTATCAGTCCGGATAAATCGCTGGTGGCAATCGATTCCACAAGGAAGTTAGAAAGCTTCTAAATCGCATAGTGGTAGACTGCCAATCATCCAGGTGGTATGGATGGTATCGCGAGTTTTGTCGCGATGTGCGATGGTGAAATTTAGCAGCTGGACTTAGTCCGAATAATTCCTCAGAGCACTTCCCGTGATAGATGCGATAAAATACGAAAAGAGATGCAACATCTCTACGCAGTTCCAGTGAGTCAAGCCATCCGTAAAGAACCCGGTCGTCGCCCATTCGAACCGATGCGGTCAAGTGGAAGGAGTTGGCACTGGGGAGCATCTGCCCAGGGGAATAGTATTCCACATGTGAGGCCGAACCTGTGCCATGTAAAGTTGCAAGCGGTGTGCCGGCATGAAATACTGTCCCGCTCTACTGAGCACGCCAAGATTTTTAGAGGCCAATTTGACCTTCTCTTTCAAGTGACCACGAAATTGCACGTCACTCGAAATGTCGACACCGAGGATTCCAATACTGGCCGAGGCAACAAGGGGAGTGTCTTGAAACTGAGGAGATACGACAAAGGGGTTCTTTTTAGGGGTAAACGCGCAAACTTGTGTCTTCTGGAGATTGAACTGGACTAGATTTAGTCCAGTTCAATCCCCAGTCTATGACTTTGTTCAACATAGTCTCGACTTCAGACACAAGTTTGTTCGGTACCCGGTGACGTTTTCCCGAGAAATATTGGCACGGCCGGTGTATCACCAGTGCTGTCCTCTGCATAGCAATGAATGTTACCGGTTTGTAACATATCATTGATATGCAGAAGAAACAGCGTTGCTGATAGTATGCAGCCTTGTGGAACACCAGCGTTAATGGGCTTGTGATCGGAGCATGCATCGTCTACTACGACCTTGATGCTCCGATCTGCAAGAAAACTGGTGATCCCATTGCACAAATTATCGGGAAGCCCATAGGAAGGCAGCTTCGAATGAAGCGCTTTGTGCCAAACCCGATCGAAGGCCTTCGCAATGTCCAAGCTAACGGCCAACGCCTCCCCCTTGGACTCCACTGCCTTCGGCCATCTATGAGTTAGGTAACCTAGAAGATCACCAACTGAGCGACCTCGACGAAAACCAGTCCAGTTCAATCCCCAGAAGACACAAGTTTGCGCGTTTACCGCTACAATTCTTTTTAGCGGTAAACGCGCCCCTTTGTCGTATCTCCTCAGTTTCAAGGCACTCCCCTTGCTGCCTCAGCTAGCATCGGAATCCTTGGCGTCGACATATCGAATAGTGTGCAGTTTCGTGGTCACTTGGAAGAGAAGGCCAAATTGGCCTCTAAAAAGCTTGGTGTGCTCAGCAGAAAGAGACAGTATTTCATGCACATCGCTTGCAACTTTACAAAGCGCAAGTTCGGCCCCACATGGAATACTGTTCTCATCTCTGGGCCGGGGCACCCCAGTGCCAGCTCCTTCCACTTGACCGCATCCAGCACAGAGCGGCTCGATTCATCGACGACCGAGTACTTTCCGATCGGCTCGATTCATTGGCACTGCGAAGAGATGTTGCATCCCTTTGCATTTTCTTTCGCATCTACCACGGGGAGTGCTCTGAGGAATTGTTCCGATTAATCCCAGTCGCCAAATTTCACGAACGCACATTGCGGCAGAACTCCCGATACCATCTGGATGATTGGCGGTCCACCACTGTGCGATTTAGAAGATGTTTTCTTCCTCGCACGACTTCCTTGTGGAATCGATTATCATCAGCGATTTTTCCGGACCGATACGACTTAGGGACCTTCAAGAAAAAAGCGTACTCCATTTTAAATTCAAAAAACTTTTTGCAGTCATACTAAACTTAAAAGGCCTGACATAATGACTTTTTTTATAAGAGGGTTCAAACGAGCATGCGATTCACCTGATGGTAAGTGACTACCGCCGCCCATGAAAAACTGCAACACCAAGGGAATTGCAGATGCGTTACCAGCCTTATAAAAAGGAGTAGGCTCTTTTCTTGAAGGTCCCTAAGTCGTATCAGTCCGGATAAATCGCTGGTGGCAATCGATTCCACAAGGAAGTTAGAAAGCTTCTAAATCGCATAGTGGTAGACTGCCAATCATCCAGGTGGTATGGATGGTATCGCGAGTTTTGTCGCGATGTGCGATGGTGAAATTTAGCAGCTGGACTTAGTCCGAATAATTCCTCAGAGCACTTCCCGTGATAGATGCGATAAAATACGAAAAGAGATGCAACATCTCTACGCAGTTCCAGTGAGTCAAGCCATCCGTAAAGAACCCGGTCGTCGCCCATTCGAACCGATGCGGTCAAGTGGAAGGAGTTGGCACTGGGGAGCATCTGCCCAGGGGAATAGTATTCCACATGTGAGGCCGAACCTGTGCCATGTAAAGTTGCAAGCGGTGTGCCGGCATGAAATACTGTCCCGCTCTACTGAGCACGCCAAGATTTTTAGAGGCCAATTTGACCTTCTCTTTCAAGTGACCACGAAATTGCACGTCACTCGAAATGTCGACACCGAGGATTCCAATACTGGCCGAGGCAACAAGGGGAGTGTCTTGAAACTGAGGAGATACGACAAAGGGGTTCTTTTTAGGGGTAAACGCGCAAACTTGTGTCTTCTGGAGATTGAACTGGACTAGATTTAGTCCAGTTCAATCCCCAGTCTATGACTTTGTTCAACATAGTCTCGACTTCAGACACAAGTTTGTTCGGTACCCGGTGACGTTTTCCCGAGAAATATTGGCACGGCCGGTGTATCACCAGTGCTGTCCTCTGCATAGCAATGAATGTTACCGGTTTGTAACATATCATTGATATGCAGAAGAAACAGCGTTGCTGATAGTATGCAGCCTTGTGGAACACCAGCGTTAATGGGCTTGTGATCGGAGCATGCATCGTCTACTACGACCTTGATGCTCCGATCTGCAAGAAAACTGGTGATCCCATTGCACAAATTATCGGGAAGCCCATAGGAAGGCAGCTTCGAATGAAGCGCTTTGTGCCAAACCCGATCGAAGGCCTTCGCAATGTCCAAACTAACGGCCAACGTCTCCCCCTTGGACTCCACTGCCTTCGGCCATCTATGAGTTAGGTAACCTAGAAGATCACCAACTGAGCGACCTCGACGAAAACCAGTCCAGTTCAATCCCCAGAAGACACAAGTTTGCGCGTTTACCGCTACAATTCTTTTTAGCGGTAAACGCGCCCCTTTGTCGTATCTCCTCAGTTTCAAGGCACTCCCCTTGCTGCCTCAGCTAGCATCGGAATCCTTGGCGTCGACATATCGAATAGTGTGCAGTTTCGTGGTCACTTGGAAGAGAAGGCCAAATTGGCCTCTAAAAAGCTTGGTGTGCTCAGCAGAAAGAGACAGTATTTCATGCACATCGCTTGCAACTTTACAAAGCGCAAGTTCGGCCCCACATGGAATACTGTTCTCATCTCTGGGCCGGGGCACCCCAGTGCCAGCTCCTTCCACTTGACCGCATCCAACGCAGAGCGATTCGAATTGTCGACGACCGAGTTCTCTCCGATCGGCTCGATACACTGGCACTGCGTAGAGATGTTGCATCTCTTTGCGTATTTTATCGCATCTATCACGGGGAGTGCTCTGAGGAATTGTTCGGACTAATTCCAGCCGCTCAATTTCACCATCGCACGTCGCGACAAAACACGCGTTACCATTATATAGTTACCATATATTATATAGTTACCATATCATCTGGATGATTGGCGGTCCACCACTGTGCGATTTAGAAGAAGTTTTCTCCCTCGCACAACTTCTTTGTGGAATCAATTACCACCAGCGAATTTTCCGAACCGATACGACTTAGGAACCTTCAAGAAAAGAGCTTACACCTTTCTAAAAGGCCGGCAACGCATCTGCAATTCTCCTGGTGTTGCGGTTGTTCATGGGCGGCGGTAGTCACTTACCATCAGGTGAGCCGCAAGCTCGTTTGCCCCCTCTTCTATAAAAAAAAAAGTCTCAGACACTACCTAAACCAAACTTTACTGCTATTACAATATCACTACAGATTGTCACAAAATTACGGCCCTGAGCCACCTAGTATACACGACTCCATCAAGTGGGGGGTCGCGCAACATTGCGTTTGCCAGTACAAGCTGTCGCTCGAGAACCTTTCTTTCCCATCGGTTCCTGTTCCTCGAGCTATATGGCCGGCCGACTGCCACTTTAGCTAACTGATCCGCTATCATTTTTATTATTCTGCTATTACTCTCGTTCTTCTGCGGATACATTTGTTAAGGATTATCCCACGAGAAATTCCGAGCATAACCTTGTCCATCGCACGCTGAGTGGCTGAGCTCCCTAATATGCCCGACAGTGACTTACCACATTCTGGTTCCGTAAGTCATCACTGGCAATACGCATTGGTTGCGCACTTTCCGTCTTAAGGCTTTAAGGAATATCAGACAAGAAACGTTGTAGTTTCCCCGAACGCATCAAAATTTAATTCTTCTCCCTCGATAACACGAAGTGACAATAGCTTAATGGCAGGGAGCAGACCGAGAACTCAAAGGTCGTGAGTTCAAATCCGCCATTCTACTACTGTCGTGAACACAAGCATTTTAAGCTTACCAGGAGTGATTAAATGTAATAATAGTAATGTTAATGCATTGCTGGTATTTTAATTTAAAAAAAGGCAACCATGTGTATAGATGATAACGAAGTTGGAATTACCTGCTGCCGCGGCCACCTCTACTCCCTCGACCTCGTAGTGGTCGCACGGTTGTTGGTGTCGTTTGTTGGGCGCCTGTAAAATAAATATTGTTGAATAGTGCATCCAATACGCTTAATTTTATTCAGGAAAATAAAAGTGACTTGTGTTGTTCTATAAAATAAATACTATTCGGAAGTGTTCCGCTAGATGGGATTATTTTATATTATTCCGAGACTTCACTGTAACTGCCACCGCTATAAAGTTAGCCACTGACAACTTCCTTTTACAAATAACACCGAATCAAGTGAGTTTCCTTTTCTTGAAATATAAATCTATTTTGGGTTAATATTATTCATACGCACGCAAAGCAACTTCATACACGCAAAGTCTCTCTGGGTGTATAAATTTTCTATGCGACCGAATACTTTATTATGCTTCCTGGATTATCATATCATATTTCTCGTGTGGAGATAGTTTCACACGCGTAGTCCGTGTGTGTTTTGCTATATCCAACTTAGGTCAAGGAAGGACTCTCAATGTGTGTGAGGAGAGCGCTCTGCGGGCTGTACTCTGTACTCACTGAGATGCGCTTGCAGCTGCTCGGTCTTTTCCCTGGTGACGCTCTCGGGCAGCTTCTCGAGCGGCACCACGGCGGTCTTGCTGACGAGGTGTGTGTGCGTGAGCAGAGCGCTCTGCGGACTGTACTCACTGAGATGCGCTTGCAGCTGCTCGGTCTTTTCCCTGGTGACGCTCTCGGGCAGCTTCTCGAGCGGCACCACGGCGGTCTTGCTGACGAGGTGTGTGTGCGTGAGCAGAGCGCTCTGCGGACTGTACTCACTGAGATGCGCTTGCAGCTGCTCGGTCTTTTCCCTGGTGACGCTCTCGGGCAGCTTCTCGAGCGGCACCACGGCGGTCTTGCTGACGAGGTGTGTGTGCGTGAGCAGAGCGCTCTGCGGACTGTACTCACTGAGATGCGCTTGCAGCTGCTCGGTCTTTTCCCTGGTGACGCTCTCGGGCAGCTTCTCGAGCGGCACCACGGCGGTCTTGCTGACGAGGTGTGTGTGCGTGAGCAGAGCGCTCTGCGGACTGTACTCACTGAGATGCGCTTGCAGCTGCTCGGTCTTTTCCCTGGTGACGCTCTCGGGCAGCTTCTCGAGCGGCACCACGGCGGTCTTGCTGACGAGGTGTGTGTGCGTGAGCAGAGCGCTCTGCGGACTGTACTCACTGAGATGCGCTTGCAGCTGCTCGGTCTTTTCCCTGGTGACGCTCTCGGGCAGCTTCTCGAGCGGCACCACGGCGGTCTTGCTGACGAGGTGTGTGTGCGTGAGCAGAGCGCTCTGCGGACTGTACTCACTGAGATGCGCTTGCAGCTGCTCGGTCTTTTCCCTGGTGACGCTCTCGGGCAGCTTCTCGAGCGGCACCACGGCGGTCTTGCTGACGAGGTGTGTGTGCGTGAGCAGAGCGCTCTGCGGACTGTACTCACTGAGATGCGCTTGCAGCTGCTCGGTCTTTTCCCTGGTGACGCTCTCGGGCAGCTTCTCGAGCGGCACCACGGCGGTCTTGCTGACGAGGTGTGTGTGCGTGAGCAGAGCGCTCTGCGGACTGTACTCACTGAGATGCGCTTGCAGCTGCTCGGTCTTTTCCCTGGTGACGCTCTCGGGCAGCTTCTCGAGCGGCACCACGGCGGTCTTGCTGACGAGGTGTGTGTGCGTGAGCAGAGCGCTCTGCGGACTGTACTCACTGAGATGCGCTTGCAGCTGCTCGGTCTTTTCCCTGGTGACGCTCTCGGGCAGCTTCTCGAGCGGCACCACGGCGGTCTTGCTGACGAGGTGTGTGTGCGTGAGCAGAGCGCTCTGCGGACTGTACTCACTGAGATGCGCTTGCAGCTGCTCGGTCTTTTCCCTGGTGACGCTCTCGGGCAGCTTCTCGAGCGGCACCACGGCGGTCTTGCTGACGAGGTGTGTGTGCGTGAGCAGAGCGCTCTGCGGACTGTACTCACTGAGATGCGCTTGCAGCTGCTCGGTCTTTTCCCTGGTGACGCTCTCGGGCAGCTTCTCGAGCGGCACCACGGCGGTCTTGCTGACGAGGTGTGTGTGCGTGAGCAGAGCGCTCTGCGGACTGTACTCACTGAGATGCGCTTGCAGCTGCTCGGTCTTTTCCCTGGTGACGCTCTCGGGCAGCTTCTCGAGCGGCACCACGGCGGTCTTGCTGACGAGGTGTGTGTGCGTGAGCAGAGCGCTCTGCGGACTGTACTCACTGAGATGCGCTTGCAGCTGCTCGGTCTTTTCCCTGGTGACGCTCTCGGGCAGCTTCTCGAGCGGCACCACGGCGGTCTTGCTGACGAGGTGTGTGTGCGTGAGCAGAGCGCTCTGCGGACTGTACTCACTGAGATGCGCTTGCAGCTGCTCGGTCTTTTCCCTGGTGACGCTCTCGGGCAGCTTCTCGAGCGGCACCACGGCGGTCTTGCTGACGAGGTGTGTGTGCGTGAGCAGAGCGCTCTGCGGACTGTACTCACTGAGATGCGCTTGCAGCTGCTCGGTCTTTTCCCTGGTGACGCTCTCGGGCAGCTTCTCGAGCGGCACCACGGCGGTCTTGCTGACGAGGTGTGTGTGCGTGAGCAGAGCGCTCTGCGGACTGTACTCACTGAGATGCGCTTGCAGCTGCTCGGTCTTTTCCCTGGTGACGCTCTCGGGCAGCTTCTCGAGCGGCACCACGGCGGTCTTGCTGACGAGGTGTGTGTGCGTGAGCAGAGCGCTCTGCGGACTGTACTCACTGAGATGCGCTTGCAGCTGCTCGGTCTTTTCCCTGGTGACGCTCTCGGGCAGCTTCTCGAGCGGCACCACGGCGGTCTTGCTGACGAGGTGTGTGTGCGTGAGCAGAGCGCTCTGCGGACTGTACTCACTGAGATGCGCTTGCAGCTGCTCGGTCTTTTCCCTGGTGACGCTCTCGGGCAGCTTCTCGAGCGGCACCACGGCGGTCTTGCTGACGAGGTGTGTGTGCGTGAGCAGAGCGCTCTGCGGACTGTACTCACTGAGATGCGCTTGCAGCTGCTCGGTCTTTTCCCTGGTGACGCTCTCGGGCAGCTTCTCGAGCGGCACCACGGCGGTCTTGCTGACGAGGTGTGTGTGCGTGAGCAGAGCGCTCTGCGGACTGTACTCACTGAGATGCGCTTGCAGCTGCTCGGTCTTTTCCCTGGTGACGCTCTCGGGCAGCTTCTCGAGCGGCACCACGGCGGTCTTGCTGACGAGGTGTGTGTGCGTGAGCAGAGCGCTCTGCGGACTGTACTCACTGAGATGCGCTTGCAGCTGCTCGGTCTTTTCCCTGGTGACGCTCTCGGGCAGCTTCTCGAGCGGCACCACGGCGGTCTTGCTGACGAGGTGTGTGTGCGTGAGCAGAGCGCTCTGCGGACTGTACTCACTGAGATGCGCTTGCAGCTGCTCGGTCTTTTCCCTGGTGACGCTCTCGGGCAGCTTCTCGAGCGGCACCACGGCGGTCTTGCTGACGAGGTGTGTGTGCGTGAGCAGAGCGCTCTGCGGACTGTACTCACTGAGATGCGCTTGCAGCTGCTCGGTCTTTTCCCTGGTGACGCTCTCGGGCAGCTTCTCGAGCGGCACCACGGCGGTCTTGCTGACGAGGTGTGTGTGCGTGAGCAGAGCGCTCTGCGGACTGTACTCACTGAGATGCGCTTGCAGCTGCTCGGTCTTTTCCCTGGTGACGCTCTCGGGCAGCTTCTCGAGCGGCACCACGGCGGTCTTGCTGACGAGGTGTGTGTGCGTGAGCAGAGCGCTCTGCGGACTGTACTCACTGAGATGCGCTTGCAGCTGCTCGGTCTTTTCCCTGGTGACGCTCTCGGGCAGCTTCTCGAGCGGCACCACGGCGGTCTTGCTGACGAGGTGAGTGAGCGCGCGCTGGCGCTCGTCGCCGGAGTCGCGGCGCCGCTTGGCGCGCTCGGAGCCGGACGACGACTCCCACTCGTCCACGCGGAACTCGTCCGAGCTGTCCGCCATGTGCTTGCCGCTCGACTTGTGCATCTCCTACGAAACACAATTCAATTATGACACAATATATTCGCTGAAGACCAGAGGACTGCTTTACTTCTCGCACAAAAACAGCATTAAATTAGTTCGGAAACTGCAAACCTTTAGGATATTGCATATGACACTGTTAAATTATTTCCCCCTCACCCCTATCACGCTATCCGTAAATTTTTACAACATCAGGGGACTTCATTCTAACCTTTAACGCTGTACATTACCATCTAGAGACGGCGAAGCCGGCCTTGCTCTTTTGAACCGAGACTCAAGTGTCCTCTCCGACTGATACTTCATATCTCTCCTACCCGGGGTACAAATTAGAACACTCCTTTGGGCCTCGGGCTGGGGTTTGCGTATACGTCAGAGAGGACATCTGTTTACGACGCCTCGGCAGTCTTGAAGGTACGGACCTGTCCATCCCATGGCGGCGCGTAGACAGCGACGACCATCCCCGCGTCTACGGGTGCCTCTATAGGTCCCATAGCGGTAATGCCGACACAGACCGACTCATCGACCACGTCCAAATGGCTGCAGACTCCGTGCTACAACAGGTCCCATCCGCAGAGATCGTGATACTCGGTGATTTTAACGCCCACCACGCTGAATGGCTTGGTTCTCGTTTAACCGATCATGCGGGTAGATCTGTCTATGATTGGCTAACACAACTGGTTACTTCACCTTCGCGGATCCCACATGTGGAGAATCATGTACCTCCACTGTTGGACCTTCTGCTGACCTCTCATCCGGACGGATATCAGGTCTCCGTCGATGTCCCTCTGGGCTCTTCACGGTGCCACTCGCTCCCATCGCAGTTGCGATCTGGAGCTTGCCGCCGTGTTTGGCACTATAGGTGGGCTGATTGGGACAGGGTGCGGTCATTTTTTGCATCCTACCCTTGGGCGCGGGTTTGCTTCTCGCTGGAAGATCCCAGCGTTGTTTCCGATTCTGTTGCTGATGTGGTACTTCAGGGTATGGAACTTTTTATTCCATACTCTGTGGTGCCCATCGGAGGCAGATCCCAGCCATGATTTGGTTGCTCCTGTAAAATAGCATCACGCTATAAGCAGGAGTGCTACCGGGCCTGGGCTGACGCATCAACGTCTCGGGATGTAATCACCAGCTCACTTAAAAAGAAGTATAATTCAGCCTCCAGGTCCTTCAAAAGCGTCATTGCCAAGGCAAGGTCTGAGCAAATCGGCAGAATTGGCGAGAAGCTAGTTCGCCTTCCTTCAGGAACCCGTGAATTCTGGTCTCTCGCCAAGGCTGTCCAAGGGAACTTCTGTCAGCCATATCTTCCATCTCTGCACAGAGAGGACGACTCACTGGCCCATGCCGCAAAGGAGAAAGCCGATCTTAGCTCTCTCTTTGCGTCTAACTCGACTCTAGATGACGGGGGGAATACACCGCCGACCATCTCGCGGTGTGAGTGCTCCATGTCGGATGTGCAATTTACACAGCGCCCGGTTCGTAAAGCACTCTTCTCCCTGGACGTCAGCACAAGTCGAGTGGGCCTGATGGAGTCCCTCCCATTGTGCTGAAGACGTGTGCTTCGGAGTTGGCACCGGTTTTAACGCGTCTTTTTCGGTACTCCTACTCCCAAGCCGTAGTCCCGAATTCATGGAAGACAGCTTTGGTCCACCCGATCCTCAAAAAAGGCGACCGCTCAAACCCGTCCAACTACAGGCCTATCGCCATAACCTCCTTGTTCTCCAAAATAATGGAATCCATTATAAACTGCCAGCTCATGAGGTACCTTGAGGATCACCAGCTGATTAGTGACCGCCAGTACGGTTTTCGTCGAGGTCGATCAGCTGGTTATCTTCTGGTATACCTGACTCATAGATGAGCGGAGACAGTAGAGTCCAAGGGGGAGGCATTGGCTGTTAGTTTAGTGCCAGCTCCTTCCACTTGACCGCATCCAGCGCAGAGCGGTTCGAATCGTCGACGACCGAGTTCTTTCTGATCGACTCTATCAGTGTATAGAGTCGATCAGAACTCTAGCACTGCGTAGAGATATTGCATCTCTTTGCGTATTTTATCGCATTTACCACGGGGAGTGCTCTGAGGAATTGGTCGGATAAATTCCAGCCGCTCAATTTCACCATCGCAAATCGCGACAAACTTGCGATACCATCCATACCACCTGGATGATTGTCGGTCCACCACTGTGCGATTTAGAAGATGTTTTCTTCCTCGTTCCGGCATTGAACACTTTTGAATATTGTAAAATAAAGTATTAAATTAGCCCCGGAATTAAAAACTTTAGAATATTGTAAACTAAAGCATTACATTAGCTCCGGAATTGAAAACTTTAGAATATTGTAAGCTAAAGTATTAAATTAGCTCCGGTATTGAAAACTTTAGAATATTGTAAACTGAAGTATTAAATTAGCTCCGGAATTGAAAACTTTAGAATATTGTAAACTGAAGTATTAAATTAGCTCCGGTATTGAAAACTTTAGAATATTGTAAGCTAAAGTATTAAATTAGCTCCGGTATTGAAAACTTTAGAATATTGTAAACTGAAGTATTAAATTAGCTCCGGAATTGAAAACTTTAGAATATTGTAAACTGAAGTATTAAATTAGCTCCGGTATTGAAAACTTTAGAATATTGTAAGCTAAAGTATTAAATTAGCTCCGGTATTGAAAACTTTAGAATATTGTAAACTGAAGTATTAAATTAGCTCCGGAATTGAAAACTTTAGAATATTGTATACTGAAGTATTAAATTAGCTCCGGAATTGAAAACTTTAGAATATTGTAAGCTAAAGTATTAAATTAGCTCCGGTATTGAAAACTTTAGAATATTGTAAACTGAAGTATTAAATTAGCTCCGGAATTGAAAACTTTAGAATATTGTAAACTGAAGTATTAAATTAGCTCCGGAATTGAAAACTTTAGAATATTGTAAACTGAAGTATTAAATTAGCTCCGGAATTGAAAACTTTAGAATATTGTAAACTGAAGTATTAAATTAGCTCCGGAATTGAAAACTTTAGAATATTGTAAACTGAAGTATTAAATTAGCTCCGGTATTGAAAACTTTAGAATATTGTAAACTGAAGTATTAAATTAGCTCCGGTATTGAAAACTTTAGAATATTGTAAGCTAAAGTATTAAATTAGCTCCGGTATTGAAAACTTTAGAATATTGTAAACTGAAGTATTAAATTAGCTCCGGAATTGAAAACTTTAGAATATTGTAAACTGAAGTATTAAATTAGCTCCGGAATTGAAAACTTTAGAATATTGTAAGCTAAAGTATTAAATTAGCTCCGGAATTGAAAACTTTAGAATATTGTAAGCTAAAGTATTGAATTAGCTCCGGAATTGAAAACTTTAGAATATTGTAAGCTAAAGTATTAAATTAGCTCCGGAATTGAAAACTTTAGAATATTGTAAACTGAAGTATTAAATTAGCTCCGGAATTGAAAACTTTAGAATATTGTAAACTAAAGTATTGAATTAGCTCCGGAATTGAAAACTCCGATATTTTATATTACATTATTAAATTAGTTCCGAAATTAAAAATCTTCCGATGTTTGCATATTACAGTATAAAATTAGTTCCAGGATTGAAAAAATAATTAGTACCATTTTTAATGACAGCAATTAGTTGCAAGCCGTGCGAGGGGCGTCGAAAGATTTAATTACAAAGGCGCACATCGTCTCTTCGTTCAAGAGAGGACCTGCACCATCATTTAGGAGAAAAATACAGAGCTTATATAACCTCCATCTGTTTTGTTTTTCAAAGTAAGGTTTTTGAATTTCTGAGTAAGGTTACATTTTTACTTATCGACATCGGGTTATACGACCTGAAAAATTGTGATTAAGTATCTCGCAATAATAATTTGGTAATCCCGATCCATATTATACCACTTCGATGCAGTCGATTGGAAATGCGAAGTTAGGGAGTGCACAATATTTATTCTGAAATTTAGTAGTTTTTTTAGAATAAGGGTATCACCCTTTTTAAGTACTCCTTTTTAAGTAACAGGCACAGCACCGCCTAAGTTCAAGCTGTCGTCACTATCGGCTTGAGAGATTATGGCTCCAGTTTTGAGGAGATTTTATTGATTCGTTATAAAGATAAAGATGTCATCAATATCACATGTGATAGTCGTTGGAGTAGTCGTTGAACTCGTCGAGGTCGCCGTACAGCACGTCCGCGCGCCACGTTGACTAATGTATAGAGATCGCAGTGGTACTCACGTCCTCGGATTCTGTGTTGGGCATCTCGGTGTAGTCGATCTTGCGCTGGCGCGTGCGGTGCTTAGGCGACCAGTCGTTGGAGCAGTCGTTGGACTCGTCGAGGCCGCCATACAAAACTCGCGCGCGAATCACATTGCCCGCCGCGTCGTACTGCGTCAGCTTGTCGCGACGCTTGCGCGACTTCGACCTGCGGACCGCATATAATGTGGGCTCATAATATTCGGCTCACCAGATGTCGCTAGTTAGGCCTAAGGTGTAGTTATTTGTTACACAATGTCATTTAATTGACAATTTAGTTTTAAATAAAAGTATTTCAGTTTCTTAAGCACAATTTTTACTTTTTTTTTTAATTTTTCTACTTTTAGGTATATCCGTAGTTTGGCTTATTCATTTTTTATCAAATTAATATAAAATATAACTAATATTACAGGAAAAACATTAACATTTTCCTAACAAATTAACTGCACTGTTATGAAAACCTCATTCCTAAGTGGTGTCGTCCTGGTGGCAATGAATTCCTCATTACAAGCTGTGAGGCATTTTATGTTAGTCTTCACAGGTAATCCTCACAGGCGTCTAATTCTTAGCCTTCTTTATTTAAAAGTTGGCTGCAGGTGTCCATGATCTGTAGTACCCACTTTTCATCAGTTAGAGCTTCAGTATTATAAAAAAAAAATTGTGGTGTGGCTGTGTCATATGTGTAATAAATACTAATAGTGGGTCAACTCCTTTGTTATACGGCAAAATACCTACAAGGCTGTCTCGACGTCAAGTAGCTAAATATATGCAAGGGTTGTCACAAAAATATTTCCTTAGACAATAATATCATAACATTATATTTTATCAGTATAATTTATTATATTCGTAATAATTTATTTTTCTATACAACGATACAAACTAATTACTACTTTACAAAACTAGTTGCGTTCCGCAGCTTCACCTGATTCGTCATGGTGGAAACAAAGGCCCGTGTTGGTAGATACCTACACAATTTTACTATATTTGACCTATATAGCACTATGTCAGGTATTCCGCTTTCCGCGAAAGTATTGAATAGGGGGTTGAACACAATAAATAAACAGGTTAAAAATTATACATTGGTTGTGTTTATTCAATCGCCTCAACTTTAGAGACGTAACGCACTGTCAATTGACATATGGGAGGAGGGTGATACTAGTTGCGAATGTGTAGGATACCGGTAGTAAAATGTACGAGTCATAGTTTAAATGTATGTATATGCGGTAGTCATTGACAACACACCCTTGAGACTCGTGTAGAATATTAGTCAACTGTATGGTAATGTATGAAGAGTCTCACACACATATTTAGTTTAGTTTTAAATGAAATTTTTTTTTGCTTCATGTCCAAGCGCGTATTTTGCGTGAAGGACATACGCTGTAAAAAAAAATAGCTACAACAAGCCTGACATACAACCACTATAGATGCGTTGTACCACTGAGGACTAGGATGGTTCACAGCCCTAAATTATATTGGTCCTTTGAGCCGGATACATATAAACTTATTTACAATATAATAAAACGAAAATATTGTTTACTTTTTAGACCTTTTCTTGATGCCCGCAGATTCACTAGAACTGTCCTCTAATACACCTTTCTTTTTTTTCTTGACCTCTGGCGACGACTCCGCTAATTTATGTCGTTCTGTGTAGTAAAAAAAAAATTAACCCTTTAGTACAAAAAAACTCAATAGCGTATTAACAAAAAATGCCCATATTCATAATACAATAGGTTAATTTATAAACAAAATATAAGCTGAAGATGGGACTTCATTAATAAAAAAATTGAAAAATAAACTGTGTAGTAGAGGTGAAAGAATATCCATTACCCCTCATGATCCTGCGGATGTCTTAAGAGGTGCCAAAGGAAAACTACACCGGAGATGGGTAACAACATCTTCCTGATAACAGCAGCATAAGAAATAAAAAAGCGGTTGTCAACCCAATTGCCGAGCTAGGCATCTACGGCAAATATCCCCTCGATGAGGCCTATGTTCAGTAGTGGATTTTTAAGACTGTAATGGTAATGCTAAATATATAGGACCTTGTTAATAGAAAATGTTGCCTTTTCTGGTAGTTTACCATTAAATGATTTATCTGACAAAATTACCTTTCTTATCAGATCTTCCTGTCCGTCTGATAGGCAAAGAGTCGGAAGACCTAGATTCCCGTTCTGCTGATGATGATATGTCTTCAGAAGTCGATTCCATCCTGGAAATTTATTTGAATAACTTACAAACCACAACTAACTTCAAACAAACAATGGTCTTTAACACGCTGATAATAGCCACCATATTTTTTTTTAATAAAATTCAAGTGACCGACAAACTTAGTCTCTTTAATAGCAAGAACGACGGCTCCATGGCGCAGTGGCATAGCAATGAGTTGCGACGCTGAGGCCCGCGGGCTCGAATCCCGCACGGAACAAGTATTTGTATGGCCTACGAATAATTGTTCCGGGTCTGGGTGTCTGTCCTTGTGAAATTTATGTATGTAAACTGCCCCCACGATACAGGAGAAAATCCTAGTGTGGAGGTAACATTTAAAAAAAAAAGAAGCCTCTATAATCCCTGAACACTTACAATTAACTTCAAATAAGGAAGGCTACGGGTGCCTTGTCACCTCTGAGGGACTAAGATGGAGTGGCCTCACAGCCTGTAACTATACTGGCTCCCTAAGCCCATCAGAACGGAACACAGCAATGCAAACACTGCTATTTATCCAGACAGAAGAGGAGTCCTACCACATAGATTTCTCCCTTTTTTACAGGTATATTTAATTGTTTGACATTTGGAGTCATAAATTTCATACATTTCGTTTTAGTGCCATTTAAATGCAAATTATTAACATTGAACCAATTTACTATTTTAGATATAGCATTATTTACTTCGTCATATTTTAGCAATTGTCGACTTAATTTGAAAATTAAAGAAGTGTCATCTGCAAATAATACTATATCATGGTTATCTCCTACTATGTAAGGTAAGTCATTAATATATACAAGAAACAGAAAGGGGCCGAGAATTGAGCCTTGAGGCACGCCCATTTGTACCATCGACCCGGAAGAACTCATACCGTTAATGACAACTTTTCAATGTTTTCCTACAATGCTTTCCTAAAACATGTTAAATTTAAATGGTATTTTTGTAAAAGGAACGAATTTGAAAAACATGGAGGCGCTCTCTTATTGGATTTGACGTTTCGCGATATGCCTTCGACGCCAACCGACCAATCATCTGCTATTATTATAGCGTCTAATAGACCTAGTGACGTCATCCAAGATGTTACCAATGTGACTGCTGTTTGAATTGATTCATAGTTATTGGAAATTAAATATTATATTTCAGGACATTTCATTTCATTCATGACGTTATTCATAAATTAAAATGTTGAAATGAATTTTTTTGATGAGATAGGAGTCATAGTAAATAGATTTATACAATAAAAAAGTATGCATATTCCCTATTATTATATAGTAAAGCATTACAAACTTAGTAACCTTCCACAACATTACCGATATTTTGATGTCGAAACGTAACATTCCTAAAACGGGTTTTTTACCCTACATTTAGTAGCATCACCTACTGGGGAATAGCTGAAATGTTTCCCTAATAAATATTCTGCGTAGTTTTGCTATGTTTAGCCAGAGGACGTCACACACGCGCGAGCTTAAAGTTTTTATAGGAAAACGTTCTCTATGTCCGCTCTATAGTATACCTACATTAAATCTCTTTACCTATTATTTATTTTCTTCTTAGAATTAACTACTTCTGACAATACAAATATACATATTGTATTATTGTTTATGTAAATCTTGCGACAAGTTTTTATATAATGTAAATTGTGTAATGTTTATTTTGTTGTTTTTAGAACATTTAAATAAGCTTGTTTTTAAAAATATTTTTTTACTAATAAATTATTTAAAATATTTATCGTAAGATATATTTCTAATTCTGTTCATTTAATTTAATGCGTCATTGTTGGTTTTTGAGCGCCATCTTAAAAATATTTAGCGCCTGCAGTTGACCCTTGTCGCTCCCTCCCAGTTATAACTCTTTAAAATTGGTATGGTGGCCATCTTATTTCCACCATTTTTAATTTTTTTTACCACCGCTAGAATTTGCCCAGGGTAGGTCGATATTTAGTTAAGACGCGCTAAGGTTTACCGTTTAGTCGGGCAGCAGTACATCATCTCCTCGGAAAGCTGAACACAGACGTCATTTTATTCGTATTCCTCTCAGCGAACCCTTTTATTTGATATTCATATCATGGAGGTGAATAAAAAAAAATAGTCCGCCATGTTGGGAGTCCACCAGTCCAGTTGAATTCTCAACAAACTCTTTCATTTGATACCCATATCATGGGTGTGCATAGAAAATAACTAGTCCGCCATCTTGGGTAATCCGCGATATTGAATTTAGAATGACATCACTTAGCTAACCATGCATTGTCACCCAAACTAAACATGTATGCAACATTTCAGCTTAATCGGTTGAGAATAACTGTTTTAAAATTCAGTTGCAAGATTTGACCATAACAAACATAGAAACATTGAAAGTTAAATAAAAGCTTTTAAAAAGACAAAAATGTGAAAGGAAAATACCCTGTGTCTTTAAAGTCTTCATCAGTCTCATCATCATCTTCAGACGGAACATCCAGAGAATTAAGCTTTCTTGGTTTACGTCGTTGTTTCTTCTTATGTTTCTTAGCCTCAACCGGTTTACCCTGTGGTATTATATTATGGTATTTAATAATATATGATTTAGATTAAACTAGAACTACAAAATTTTGGAAAATATTGCATGTATAGATTCCAGTCTTGTTTATAAATTTTTTGTTTCTTAATTTATTAATTTTTCTCTTATATTTAATCGATAAAACTGTGTACAGGTTGATGAAAAATACATTAAAAGTATAGTATTTATATTAATTTATATTAACAGTATAGTATAGTAAAGTCACAAAAGTTTGCTTCTAATGTGCATTTTTTTTAGATAATAAGGGTGACAAAAGAACACGCAGTCCACCTGATGGTAAGCGGATGCTGTGGCCCAGAGAAAATTCAAAATGCAGATGCTTTGTCATGCCTCGTCCAGTAAAAATGGTCTCTGGTTACATTTACTATACGAAACAACAGCATTGAGCGGCTATTTTACGCTGGTATTCTGTGAGAGCGTGGTCCTTCCCCGGTCGAGCGGACCTATTCGTGCTACAACCATGATATACCTGCAGCATGGCTCAACCACGTGTGATTAGTTACAAGTGATTTAGAATATTTAAGTGAGTTCAAGCAATAAAATATTATTTTAAATTATAAAAAACAATGTTTCTGTTCATATGAATATAAAAAAAGATTAAAGCTAATCAACCTGCTCCCGTGCCTCTCTTTCAGCCTTGAGCTTCTCCTCTTCAGCGGCTTCTATTATGGTGGATATGTCCTTTCCACGACCTTGATTGCCTGCGCTGGTTGTCGGTTCCACGTATTCTTCCTATCAACAATATTAAATATGAGATTTTAATATTTATCCGAGACGAAAATTGAAATTTCGCTGGTCCATTTTGAACAAAAGTAATATTAATAGCAAATGCAAGCTAGCGATTAATACTAATACCAATCACGAGCTCGTGTGATATCGCACCAGATTGTGGGGTACGTATAGTAGTTACATTACAATAAACACACAGTTTACACATTCCATGAGTATTTCAGTGTGCTGAAACTTTCTCATTTTAAATAACAATATAACGTAATTTATAAATTCGGCAATATTTCCAGGAAAGTACACTAATTTCATTATTCAGTAGACGTAACTTGATATATTGGATAAATTCGTCATTTTTAATGTATATTTGCAATCGTTTTCTAAATTTCTTTGTTACAACAGATGTGTTAGTGAAAACTGGGCATTTTTTTTAAACATTCCAAAAACATTACTTTTGAATGTTTGTTTTTAACTGTATTTTAAATTGTTTTATGCCAAGATTCCAATGAATCAGTAATACTTTTATTTCAGCGTTGACCTTTCAAACAAGAAGTATGTATATATTTTATAGGTATGCTCATAGGTACTAAGTATATTAGGCCAGTTTTTATCATGTTTCTATAAATGACTGTACACAACTGAGGGAGAAAATCGGAAGAAAAAATATTATACGAATTCCCATTTTATTATGAACACGCGTTTTCGTATATCCACCCTAGGGTGGATAAACGGAATAATTCAAAATGATAAAAAGTGGGTACTCCGTGAACATAAAAGAGCCGTGCAAATTATTAATTCCCGTAGCAAAAAGGTGACTACAGACCCCACAGTCTACCAGAAGGATGCTGTGGCCCTGTATCCTCCATTAAGAATCAAAATGCAGATGCGTTGTCACCCTTGAGGACTGCCTCGATGGAATGCCTCGTTTCCAATAAAAAGGGTCTCCGGTTCTCTGCACTCACCATACGAAACACAGCAGCATTAAGCTGCTATTTTACGCTGGTATACTTGTGAGAGCGTGGTCCTCCCACGGTCGAGCAAACCCATCCGTGCTCCAACTATGAAATAGCTGCAGTGTGCCTCTAAAGTTTAGAATATGGTATGTTACGGTGATATATTTTCTAATACCTGACACCGGCAAAAGGAGCAATAGTTCGAGTGAATAGTGAAAGCAGAGCAATGCAGTGTTACCTTGATGGCGGAGCTGATGAGGCGGTCGTACTCCTGCGCGCGGTAGCTGACGGGCAGCTGGCGGCGCGCGCGCAGCCGGTACACGGCGCCCGACCACGACGACGACCAGCCGCTGCCACTGCCACTGCCGCTGCCACTGTCATCTGCCACCACCGACATACACGTCTTTTTAGAATAATACTAGCAATACTATTCATTCAGTCGAATGGCGGATTCAAACTCACGACTTTTGATTTCGTGGTCCACAAATGGGAGAGCCATTAAGTTACTGCTGTCGCTTTACAATTGTACATAAATACCTACTTCAATCGTTTTACCGCAGTTTTTTATAATTTTGGATTTTTATCAGGAAGATGCAGGGCAACAGCCCATCTCTTCCTTTGTTTTTCTTTGTCACTTCTTACTACACACACGGGATGATATGGGGTAGTGGATTTTATTACACCGCCACTACACAACAATACAGATTGTTATAAAATAGCAAATACCAACAGCATTTTTGGATAACAGATACATCACAAGATGCATTATAAATTTGATGCACATGTTAATAATAGAAATCATATAACGATTAAAAAATTACAAATATTTGTATTATAATCTATACAAATAAATAAAATTGAGGTGCCTGTTTGTAATGTCAAAATAACAGCTTTTTACTAAATGCATATGAAAGTATATACGGTACTTATAACAAAAACACAATTTTTAAATTTTTTGTATGTCTACCTGTCTGTTTGTTCCGGCTAATCTCCGAAACGACTACGACCGATTTTGACGGGACTTTCACTGGCAGATAGCTGATGTTATAAGGAGTAACTTAGACTACTTATATTTTAGAAAACGAATTAGGATTCCATACAACATAATTAAAATCCTAAATTACACGCGGGCGAAGTCGCGGTTAACAGCTAGTAATAAATAATATTAAAAAATATATTTTTGCTTACGACATAACAGACGACTATCATTATTGTGGTGTATTTAAAAAATAATGAATAAACTATTTACAACTAAATTACGCAAGTAGTCCCAATAACTAATCATCATCATCATTACAGCCCTTCACAAGTCCACTGCTGAACATAGGCCTCCCCCAAGGAATGCCATAAAGCACGATCCTGAGCCACCTGCATCCATCGACTTCCTGCATATCTTACCAGGTCTTCACTCCATCTAGTGGGGGGACGCCCTACACATCGTCCGCCGGTACATGACCGCCACTCGAGAACCTTTTCTCCCCATCGGCTGTCGGTTCTTCGAGCTATATGGCCGGCCCATTGCCACTTCAGCTTACTAATCCGTTGGGCTATGTCGGTCACTCTGGTTCTACTGTGGATATCCTCATTTCTAAGTTTATCACGCAGAGAAACTCCGAGCATAACCCTCTCCATAGCTCCCTGAGCGACCTTGAGCTTCCTCATCCGGCCAGCAGTGAAAGACCACGTCTCAGTACCATAGGTCATCACTGGCAACACGCACTAGTTGTACAGTCTCGTTTTCAAGTTTTGAGGTATACCTGACGAGAAGATGTGCCGTAATTTCCCGAACGCTGCCCAACCGAGTTGAATCCGTCGATTGACCTCTCGGTCGAAGTTGGACTTACCTAGTCGGACTATTTGTCCCAGGTAAACATAATCGTCAACAACTTCGAGCTTAGTGCTCCCAGCAACTACCATCATAGGTGTGACATGGACATTATGGACATCTTTGTTTTGTCCATGTTCATCTTAAGACCTATCCGTTGGGAAACACTATTGAGGTCATTGAGCATAGTGCTTAGGTCGTCCAGCGATTCTGCCATAAGGACTATATCATCGGCAAATCAAAGGTGAGTGATGTACTCGCCATTGATGTTAATACCGTATCCTTTCCAGTCCAGAACCTTGAAAACGTCTTCCAATGCAGCGGTGAAGAGTTTCGGGGATATAACGTCACCCTGTCTTACACCTCTCTGCAATTGGATAGGTTTCGTACTCTGGTTCTGTACTCGGATAGCCATCGTAGCCCTACTGTACAAGCACTTCAGCACTTCGATATACCGACAGTCAACTTGGCATCGCTGAAGGGACTGCAGCACCGTCCAAATTTCGACGGAATCAAAGGCTTTCTCATAGTCCACATACGCCAGACATGGTGGCAAATTGTACTCCTCGGACCTCTGTACAATCTGCCGAAGGGTATATATGTGGTCTATGGTGCTAAAGCCCTTTCGGAAACCGACTTGTTCGGGAGGCTGGAAGTCGTCAAGTCTGCGCGCGAGACGATTCGTAATGACTCTCAAAAACAGCACGTAGACGCAGCTCAAAAGGGAAATAGGTCTGTAGTTCCTCAAGAGAGCGTTGTCACCTTTCTTGAAGAATAAGACCACCGCACTTCTGCTCTACGCCTCCGGTGTAGTGCCAACATGGAGGACGGAATTAAAGAGCTTCTGAAGGACTTCAAGTAACGGTTTTCTACCCGCTTTCAGAAGCTCCGCTGTAATTCCATCCTCGCATGAGACCTTGCCGTTTATAAGGTGCTGGAGAGCCATTCCAATCTCGCTCAGACTGACGTCCAGGATATCATCGGAATAGTGTCGGATAAGACTCGCCCTTGGATCTACTCACACTTACGTGTGGCTCCAACGATGATGTGTACAGGTGCCCATAGAACCTCTCAATCTCACTCAAAATCTCAGGTGTCCCAGAAACGACGATGCCACACTCGGTCTTCAGCTTCGACAGTTGGCTCTTTCTGGCAGACAGATCTCTAGCAAAAACTTTGGAGCCCTGGTTCCGCTCGATCGCTTCTTTAATACGAGCAGTATTAAAGTTGCGTAAGTCCCGCCGCATGCATTTGGAGATCTGTCTGTAAGTTGCCTGTATGCTGTCAAATCTACTGAAGACTGCAGCTTCATATCCCGTCTAACAGCCATGATATTAAGAGTGTGATCAGAGAGTTTTTGTGTTCTTCTGCGGCGGGTCTTGGAAAATTTAGCTCCGACCGCATGGACAGTTTCCACGAGCTTGTCATTTATATTGTCCACTGCAATGCAATCTTCTAGGTACTGAAAACGGTTTCGTAGCTCGAGCTGAAAGGTTTCGGGACTTTGGATTAAAGCACGAGGGGGACAGAGCGTTAACTTCATTAGACGTGACCTCTTCAACTTAACGTTTAGGTTCAGTGTGCCTCTCACCATTCGGTGATCGCTGCCGGTTTTCACCTTCGCGATCACTGAGACATCACTGAACAGTTGTCGTTTGGTCGTCATAATGAAGTCAATCTAATTATTTGTCGAACCGTCGGGGCTCGACCAGGTCCACTACCTGGGGGCCGCTTCTGGAAGAAGGAGTTGATCATAAAGACTCCCTCTTTCTCCATGAAGTTGGCCAGCTGCTGGCCCCTTGGGTTCCGTTGCCCTAATCCGAAATTCCCTAATTTCAGCTCACCATTCTCTCTTGTGCCTAATTTTTTGTTGAAGTCTCTAATTAACACCGTATAGTGGGTTTTGGAGGAATGCATGGCTCTAGAGATATCCTCAAACATTTCCTCCACCTCCTCATCGGGGTGTGCCGAGGTTGGTGCGGAAACCTGTAGGACCTTCAGCGAATACCGTTTGGTGATTCTGAGTATAAGGTACGCAACCCTCGTCGACACAATCTCAATCTTTACAACGTTGTTAACGAGAGACTTGTGGACAATAAATCCGACACCTCCTTGGGACAGATGGTCGCCTTCTCGGTGATAGAACAAGTTGCCGGATTCGAAGTTTACCGTATCCTCCCCCTCTCTTCGGAGCTCAGATAATCCTATGACTATCTAATATGACTAACTAATATATTCGGATAATCCTATGAATAATTAATAATCAATCTTTAATATTAGCCAATATATACCTCAAAAAGTGGAATCCGTTTTATTCTATGCATAGACATAGAGTACGTGTTCTTAAATTATTTTTTAGATTTATTATCTGTGCTTGAGCACTTTTATTGCCGTAAGCGCAGCAATAGTTTTATTGTGGCGGTCTTTGTAACTTTGGGTCTCTTAGACTTGCCTCTTAAACACGAGTCTTTATTTCATCCCACAGATATAAGTATAACGGTGAAAATTCCGGCGAGTTTGCAGGCCATCAAGGAATGTGCCTGTCCCAGTCTCGTTGCCGTTTTTCCACAACTTTTGCCAGGTTCCAATGTCTGATTAAATCGTTCTACCATTCCATCAGATTGTGGGTGGTAAGAAGTTGTTTCGTGTTTTATAAGTACCCATAACTCTGCAAGTTTCCTGGAATATTTGAGACTCAAAATTCCTTCCTTGATCGCTGTATAAGGACTCCGTGCGCAATCCGTCTATTTAAATTATCGCACTTAAATAGTTTGATTAGATGTCAGTTGTTATTCAGTTGGTACACGAATGCTAATTTCTTTCCGCGGTAAAAACTTACTTTCGTATAATAATTGTGCAGCACATAAACTTTCACTGCTTAAAATGTAATACCACACCATTTGATAGTTTCATAGTATTCGCGGTTTGAATATTTTCGTTCAGTCATTGGTAATGTAGCAACACTACTACTTACGGAAATTTAAAAATAATAGTAGCACAATTGTACGTAATGAGGTCACGGTCAACACTGTCAGCTATCAGCCGGCCCGGCGGACGTAGGTACCTAACGGTGTAACAATTGACGGAAGAGAAGGGCGCGGGAAGACGCGCGTCGAAGTAATTTTGTAAATTTGTAATTTTGTAACTAACTAAATAACGAATTTTGTAACCGAGCGAATTAACAATAATAATAAAAGAAAAATATTATAAAAAGGACAGAATGTTTGAGATTTTAATTAATTTTTCTTCACCATTCGCCTTTATTACTCATTCTGAACCTGCCCTGCAAATTTGGCTGTATATTGCAAAATAACCGTGTATGTTTATAATTCGTATATATTTTATATATCATAATATTACCATATAATAATAGTATTTTTATCAAAACTTATTAATCACAACATATACAATATTTGCACCTTCCAAAAAATTTCTTGTGAAAAAAAGGGACGATATGCAGAGAATGTCATTTAAACATTAATAGCAATGAAGATGTGTAGAAATGAACAAGTAGACAAGCAAAATTAGATTTGATTGAAGTAGAAACATATAAAAAATTTCCTTGGTATAAACCTTAACATTTTTTATTATTCTTAATTCTGAAGTTATTTGGAAAATTGTTTTAGATGAAAAATACCACTGACCTGATTGCTCATCAGATTTATCATCCAACTTATCATCAGACTTCTCTTCTAGTTTTTGGCTATCCTCTAACACAGATTCATCATCAGCCTTCGTCAACTGCTCAATCCGGCTACGTTCTCGCTCTACTTCTACATTGGCAAGGAGTTGATCATATTTCACTAGTTCTTCCTCAAGAGCTGAAATAAGCTTTTCCTGAAAAATACAGAAGTCATTTGAAATGAAATATATTTATTTATTTGACGTAAGAAAATAAAATTTCGTTTGCCAAATGTCATTTTTGTCGAACCTACTACTATTTTGAAATGATATTCTTCTGGCTGATGAATTAATCGGCGATAGAAACTTCACACAGGTTTTCCCTTTTGTGATATTTGTTTAAAATCAATATCAACAGCCGAGTACATATTTAAACATCAAATTATTTCAACTTTTGTATTTAATTGTTTCTCCGCCGCCATTTTGAAAAGATTTGCCTAAAAAGCAAAGAATAGTCGGCCTAAATGGTGGGGATGTCTAGTTGCACATGCGGACATGGATCTTCAGCCCAGAACACAACAGAGCAAGCACTGCTATTGGCGGCAGAAACAGGTAAGAGGGTGGTCCCTACACAGAAAGACTTCTAGACAGAAAAAAAGTTCTACAATTTAGTATCAGGTAGCAGCCTCGTACTCGTGGTAAAATTGGATTCTCCCTTTTAGTTGGAGTGACAACTAGAAAACTGGGAGTCGATCGATGCAGCTGTAGTAGAGCAACATAAGAACTATTTATGTAACCACATGAATGCAATAAAATGTTTGAGTTTGTGTTGCCAGCAGTTACCATCAGATAGATCGTTTCCTCATTTCCACTTTAATATGTTTTAAAAAAAACACAAACCAGCTTTGAGAATAGCAGTTACAGCGATCGCCAATCCATCTGTCAACTATGGCGACCACAGCAATTCTTCTCTTCTTTGGTTGAGACCATTGGCAGTTAGTGGAGTGTTTAATTTATTGAATATAAAATTTAGTTATTGCTGTTTTGAAGTTAAGGTGACACTAGTCGACATTATTTCCATAGAAATTTCGGAGGGGTTTTACTCCGCTGTTTGATAGTGTACATCCAAAATTAAACATGATATCGTTTTGTCTCATTATTAAATTTGTCTGTACGGAAACAGAATAGTAAAATAAAATGTTATTAAAAAGTTACGAGCTACCAAAGATTCGTTTTTATTGCCAATTTTAACACAACTTTGGGCGTAAATTAGTAATAAAAGAAGTGTAAAATTTCCAAAACAAAGTCGGTACCAACACAGCCTAATTATCGAAGAATTCAATAAATTTTATTTGTAATTGATTAATGCAGTGGTTTTTTCGTAAAACCCCTTCTTCCAAAGGCCTTTTCGTATTTTTTCACGCGCGCATGTTACTATGAATTATCGTGCATCTCACTGAATAATGTTTCCCCCGGTGCGGTGCGGGAGGACAATGCTTACACACACATGCACAGGCGGTGACGCGCGCTTATTCGAGTTTAATTCGAAACGAAGATTTGCTATTTTGTAATTTGGACGCCAAAGACAAAAGACGGCATGCAAATTGATATAATTGAAAGAGATGATGCGTTTTGGACGACAAACAATATTTTAAAATTTTCGTCTGTAATATAATATAATTATAAAAGTAAAAAAAAGTAAAGTCTATATTCGATTACTAGGTATATAAAATTGCAACAATTTCATTGGTGCCGACGGGGATCGAACCCGGATTGCTCGCGTAATGTGATACTTACAGCGAGCGCTAACCATCTGAGCTACCACGGCTCTCAATGCAAGTTTTATAAATAAATAAAGAATTACAAAACAGTTTAATTATTTATTAGACGACTTTTGCGGCGGAGAAACAAAGTATATTATGTGGGATTTTCATAGGTACCTACTGTTATAACCTAGATACCTACTACCTACAATACAACAAAATGTCACAAAACTTTGCCGCGTCGTGGCCACAAAATTGTAAACTTTAGGTAGGTACGTCAGTACTAAGAAAACAATCTTGATGGGTCACTTGTCTTGATAAAAACCTGTGCTTACGTTTAGTGATACTTATTGAGTACATATAAAAAAGTAAGAAGACAGGTAAGTAAGTATTTTTGAAAACAATTTATAGGTAGGCAGAACTAATTACGATTATTAGATATCTAAATATTATAAATGCAAAAGTTTGGATATTTGGATGGACGGATGAATAGATGTATGTTACTCAGTCACGCCAGAACGGCTGAAGGGATCTGGATGATATTTTGCTCAGAGATAGGTTATAGTCTGGAATTTTTTTTTTTAAAAAAAGTTACCCCTACACTAGTATTTTCTCCTGTATCGTGGAAGCACTTTACAAACATTCAGACCCGGAAAAATTATTTGTAGGCCATACAAATACTTGTTCGATTGAATCGAACCCGCAGCTCCCAGTACAACAATTCATTGCTAAACCACTGCGCCACAGAGCTGTCAAATAACATATATGATACGGTTTATTCAGGTATTTCGTTCCCGTGGGATAATTTTCGAGTTACACACGTTCGAAGCCGAACTCTTGAGTGATTGCTGCATGACCACTCGGGGAAAACTAAACATAATAAAATAAACAATCTATATTAGGTATATAGAGCCACAAAGGTATAATATGAAGCGATAAAGCAGCACCTAATAATTTCGCGGTTTCACCCGCGTCATCACGTGTCCGAGATGCGTGGCATGACATGACACCTAGTTCAAGCATTTTATAATTGTAATCAAATATTTTATTTGATAGTAATGTATGGAAAAATTGCCATGATTAATGGAGTACTTTTATTTTATCTGTCGGCACATTATGCGCGGTTTTTTTCAGTTTTAAAGAAAAACGTACACGATATATGAAAAGTGTGTAGGCAAGAACTAAAAACTACTTATTAATTAATAAAATTTTCAAAATACCATAGCAACGTGAAATGAAAGAGTTCAGAAACAAAGATGTAACTAATCATTGTTACGCTCACCCGGGAGATAGATAAAAGTACTCAATTATTTTTTATTTATTTTAGCTACTAGCTGTTCCCCGCGACTTCGTCCGCGTTTACTTTAGGGCGTTAATTTTGTTGCAAAGACACCTAATAATTTTTCTAAAATTTAAGCAGTCTAAGTTACTTCTTATAACATGAGCTATCTACTACTGAAAGTCCCGTCAAAATCGGTCCAGCCGTTTTGGACATTAACCGGAACAAACAGACTGACAGACATACAAAAATCAATTTTTTTTCAAATCGGACTGGTAGTTCCAGAGATTAGTACGTTTAAACAAACAAAAACACTCTTTTGCTTTATTATACGAGGGTGAATTGAAAAGTACTCGGCCTAACCAAGAAAATAAACAAATACTAAATCAGTTATATTTTTATTTTTCTACATAATCACCATCAAGTTCAATACACTTTTGCCACCTCCCCTTCCAAGCATTTAGACCGTTGAAAAAAAATGATTCTTCCTTAGAGTCAAAATATGCGTCTACAGCTGCTTTGACCTCGTCGTTTGTCGTAGGTTAGGGAACAGAAAGAAGTCTGATGGTGCCAGATCAGGTGAATACGGCGGATGCGGTAACAGTTCAAAGCCACAGTTGTGAATTTCAGCCATTGACTGTACTGACGTATGAACACGGGCGTTATCTTGATGAAACAGGACTTTTCTTCTGAGCATTCCTCGACGTTTTTCTTTTATTTCCTCTCGTAAACGACGTAGTAAGGTGCAGTAGTAATCAGAGTTTATATTATGACCCCTTTCAAGATAATCAATCATAATCACACCTTTCGAGTCCCAAAATACTGAAGCCATCACCTTATTTGCCGACAAAATCGACTTAGCCTTTTTAGGGGGTGGTGAACCAGGTCTTCTCCACTGTTTTGATTGTTGTTTTGTTTCCGGTGTACAGTAATGAACCCATGTTTCGTCCATAGTAACAAAACGATTCAAAAAATCATCTGCATCGGCTTCAAATAACTCCAAACAGTCGCGTGAAATAGTCAATCGCGTCCTTTTTTGTTCAACTGAAAGCAGTCGCGGAACCCACCTCGCAGACACATTGTGGAAACCCAACTCGTTGACAATGATGTTTTGAGTTCGTTCATAAGAGATGCCTATAATCTCGGCTATCTCTCTAATTTTTAATCTGCGGTCTCCCATTATTAAATCAAGTACTTTTTTAATATTTTCGTCAGTAGTTGACGTCGAAGGCCTTCCAGAGCGGGGTTCATCTTTCACACTCTCTCTACCACGCTTAAATTCTGCTATCCATTTTTTGACGAATGAATATGACAGAGCACAATCGCCTGATGTACTGACCATGTCATCATGGATGGCTTTTGATGATAGCCCCTTCTTATGGAGGTACTTAATGACGGCACGCTGCTCGATTTGCTCCATTCGCGGAAATTATGTCCGATTACTTTGTTAATAAATTTATAAAATCACAACTAATTATCGCACACGTTTCGAACTTCTCACAATGAACTAGTCTGAACTGAACTAAATAATGTGGGTAGATTTGATTTTTAGAATTGAATGGATCTGTGTTAGGCCGAGTACTTTTCAATCCACCCTCGTATTAGTATATAGATGTTGCATCGTGTTCGTGTAACATCGTTTTTATTCTAACGGTTGGGAACGCCGTACGAACAAGACATGCGTGAATACTAGTGTCGATATGCTCATCACTGATACTATCTCTGTTGGGCACGATGCCAGGTGAGACAGCGTGCTTTTTGGCCGCGCCCACCAGCGAGTTCGAGCCCGCGACTTGTGCCACCTTAAGATCCTAGATAATGTGCTAAAAATTTAATATTATATACTATAATAAATGTTAGGGGAACGGTACCAGTGGTGCCTTGAATAGCCACTAAGGAAACCTTAAGAAAGAAGAAATTGACAAAACCAGAGCACTCACATGGTTGCAGGGCGGGCAGTACCAGTCACCTTCAGGCACAAGCAGCAGCATGGGCTTTAGGCAACTGGCATGATATCCCGCGTCACATTTGTCACACAATAGGATCCATTCTGGCTGCTCGCCGCTTCCACAGCGTTTACAGAACCCATCGTCTTTTCCTGCAAATTAAAAAAAAAACAATTTACATAAGAACTTCTTAGCAAAAAAATTGTTGGGTAGCAGCAGTGATTGAATTTTTTTTACAAACCAACAGAAGTCCACTGCTAAACATATGCCTCCCCAATAATTGCCTCATAGGGGGGATATTTGCCATAGTTGCCACGCCACAGTATTTTTATTATTGCTAGCTGATATTGCTATGTGAAAAACCCTGTATAAAATCGTTGTTTCTTCAAACTTTAACAACTTTATATTAAAAGAAGGTATCCCAATATTTTTTTTCGCATAAGGGCTAAGTGTCTAAGAAATAAAACTTAGAAAACCTAATTGAAATCTATCCAGTAGCTTTTTTGTGTTCTTATCAGGAAGATTCAGTCGCCTCTTAGGACACCCAAGGGATGTGATATGGTGTAGTATATTCTCTTACGCCTCCACTACGCGGGGTAAATTTCATGAAAATTAATTTTAATCGATGTAATTTCCATGTTTTGTTTAGTATAAAAACAATGCCTATCGCTAGTGATAGATTATGGAAACAAGCTATAGTCTTTCATTTAATGTTTTATTTAATTTAAAATATTTGTAACACATATTATATCCTATAAATTTTACATTCATATGTACCGCCAATCAAAGAATAATAATCACTACGTTTGCCAATGTCAAACATATAATAGCCTGTGGTCAAACAGTTGCAACGAGTAAAGATGGTTGTCAATTTTTTTTTTGAAATGTTGGCGACTAATCTACTCAGATTGACTGAATGGGTGTGAAATTTGTGCGATTTCAAACGTTCCTTTTTCAATAGTCTGTGTAGATATGTGTTTTATATTTGTCCGCGATGAACTCCTAAACTATTGAACTGATTTCAATGAAATTTTGCACTCTGTGTGCAGTTTGGTCCAACTTGAGAGATAGGATAGTTTTTATCCGGATAAGTGACCCTCAAAAATTTTTATTGCGAATTTACGGATTTTTTATAGGACAAAGTGTCGTCGGAAAGGACAGAACAACGTCTGCCTGGCCAGCTAGTATTAATATACAGATGAAAGAAAAATACAGCTCGTTTAATAAAAAAATAATATCTTACATTCGAATTTCGACCATTGCACAACCACTAGTAATTGGTAAAACATTGGTGTAGTGCATTTTGTAAAAGTCCATTCTTTATCATACCTTCTTGTAGAGTGCGCGCTAATTTTAGAGGCTCGGCTGGTTCTCCATCCTCCAAATCAGATTCTGGTGAAAACTCATGATCCGATTTTGCAGATTCCACTGTTACGAAAGAAATAATACTAATTGATATCAATGAATACATACAGAGAAAGTGCCATTTATTATATAGAAATCTTTACTAAATTTTTTTTTCACATTGTGATAATGATAAAAGAAATAAAAGTTTTCTTCTTGCACATACAGTCAGGCTCTTCAGGATGTTCAAAGAGAGGTTCATCTGATTCTGAATCAGGCTCTGGACCAGTGGAGTCCGAAGCCCGCCAGGCGGATGTCTTCCTACGGGAGCGGGCGGCTTCGCCATCAGAACTGCTGCCACTTGCACGCCACTCCTCCTCGTCGTCCTTGTTCTGGTTACGGTGAAACACTTAGCAATTACAATGATATTAATCTAAAATGTACTTGTGTATCAGTAAATAGGAATAATTCACTACCTTCCGAACCTAAACTGACAGATATAAAGCCTAACGCTAGACAACTTGATATGAAGGGCTATGGCTAAAAGTGAGCTGGTGAGAGCTAATGAAATATATATTATCCCTTGTCAGAAGGCCTTAGGCTTTCTTGGAACAGAAAGTTGCCCTCCTGGTGATAGAACAAGAATCCGTATTCTAGGATTACCGTGTGCTTTTCCTGAATAACTCAGCACAACTTATCTCTGATCATCTTCTGTAGTAATCTCTTCTTCCAGATCGTTACTCCACCTTCTCATCAGTCTTTAGGTTAAATGTTGCCAGCTTGTATCATATTTAAGATAGCAACAACCTTCTAAGACATAGCAAGAAGTTCTTAGCAACCCCTGCTCTGTCGTTACCATTGTCGCCACCATAGCCAAGAATAGCGGCTCTGCGGACTGGGGCCGTTTTTTTATATTGTTGTCCATAGAGGGATATTTACGAAAGTTGAAACGCCTGGTAGTCGATTCGACCTCAGTTTATTATTATCAAGTTGTTACGAGACAAAGCTTCAGCTTTCCTCTGTCGCCTCTAACGATACCCACGGAATGATATGGGGTAGTGGACTCTCTTACGTCACTACTACATGATACACACCCGGATTAAGGTTTTGGAAGGCCTGTTGTTTTGGTTTTGGCTCTAAGAGGTATTTGCTCATTGTATAGACTTTTGGAAATTTCTCAAACGGTTCTAGTCCTTATTAGCCCAGCCAATGCATACATGTCAGTCTGTTCATCACCTACATTTCTCGAAAGTCCCAGAACTCCTCTCAAGGTGACCCTGTTTTGCAAAATCACCAAATTTATGACATTTTATATCTCTATATATAATTTTTTTTGTGTGTGTTTGTGGGTCCGTGGATGGTTTAGATTCACAATTGGAGGCGGTAGGTGGCACTGTTGTCGAGATCCAGAATTCACCCGTCCAAGCTGGGGCGGATCGCTAATACGAGGGTGGATTGAAAAGTACTCGGCCTAACACAGATCTATTCAATTCTAAAAATCAAATCTACCCACATTATTTAGTTCAGTTCAGACTAGTTCATTGTGTGAAGTTCGAAACGTGTGCGATAATTAGTTGTGATTTTATAAATTTATTAACAAAGTAATCGGACATAATTTCCGCGAATGGAGCAAATCGAGCAGCGTGCCGTCATTAAGTACCTCCATAAGAAGGGGCTATCATCAAAAGCCATCCATGATGACATGGTCAGTACATTAGGCGATTGTGCTCTGTCATATTCATCCGTCAAAAATGGATAGCAGAATTTAAGCGTGGTAGAGAGAGTGTGAAAGATGAACCCCGCTCTGGAAGGCCTTCGACGTCAACTACTGACGAAAATATTAAAAAAGTACTTGATTTAATAATGGGAGACCGCAGATTAAAAATTAGAGAGATAGCCGAGATTATAGGCATCTCTTATGAACGAACTCAAAACATCATTGTCAACGAGTTGGGTTTCCACAAGGTGTCTGTGAGGTGGGTTCCGCGACTGCTTTCAGTTGAACAAAAAAGGACGCGATGAGTTGGGTTTCCACAAGGTGTCTGTGAGGTGGGTTCCGCGACTGCTTTCAGTTGAACAAAAAAGGACGCGATTGACTATTTCACGCGACTGTTTGGAGTTATTTGAAGCCGATGCAGATGATTTTTTGAATCGTTTTGTTACTCTGGACGAAACATGGGTTCATTACTGTACACCGGAAACAAAACAACAATCAAAACAGTGGAGAAGACCTGGTTCACCACCCCCTAAAAAGGCTAAGTCGATTTTGTCGGCAAATAAGGTGATGGCTTCAGTATTCTGGGACTCGAAAGGTGTGATTATGATTGATTATCTTGAAAGGGGTCAGAATATAAACTCTGATTACTACTGCACCTTACTACGTCGTTTACGAGAGGAAATAAAAGAAAAACGTCGAGGAATGCTCAGAAGAAAAGTCCTGTTTCATCAAGATAACGCCCGTCTTCACACGTCAGTACAGTCAATGGCTGAAATTCACAACTGTGGCTTTGAACTGTTACCGCATCCGCCGTATTCACCTGATCTGGCACCATCAGACTTCTTTCTGTTCCCTAACCTAAAAAAGCACTTGGGAGGTCAAAGATTTTCGACAAACGAAGAGGTCAAAGCAGCTGTAGACGCATATTTTGACTCTAAGGAAGAATCATTTTTTTTCAACGGTCTAAATGCTTGGAAGGGGAGGTGGCAAAAGTGTATTTGAACTTGATGGTGATTATGTAGAAAAATAAAAATATAACTGATTTAGTATTTGTTTATTTTCTTGGTTAGGCCGAGTACTTTTCAATCCACCCTCGTATTATGTATTATTTGAAACACTATAAACTATGTCAACTTTAGAAGAAACATTATAAACTTTAAACGAATGATTCATTTTACTTTTAAAATGACATTTTATGAATCTTAATTAATCCGTTAATCCTTGATACTAAGGTGACACTGAAATTTCTTAGAAAATCAAAAACTGAACAAACTAGCATGTTATTAGTTTTATTATATACTAGCTGTGCCCCGCGGTTTCACCCGCGTTTTTCTCGTTTCCGTGAAAATACCGAGATAAAATATTGCCTATATTATAGCCTCCCTCAATAAATGGACTATTGAATATTTAAACAGTTTTCATATCAGATCAGTATTTCCCGAGATTACCGCATTCATAATAAACAACCAAACTTTTCAGCTTTATAATATTAAGAAAAATATAGATTAAGTTAAATTGTATAAGTCGCAGGCAATAGCTGTCTGTCTGTTCGACATTCAGCCAGACACATAAGAATTACGACTACAGGCGGGAGTGTCCGTCTACTTTAAACCGGGTTAAAATATTATTTTAAAGTACTTCTGAGTAAATTATATTTTTCGTTTTATTTTCTTGTGGCAGAAGAATATATTGATTGTTTCCGCAACCTGATCTTGACAACGCGACATATAGTTGGCCGTGCGAAAAACAGTCTTGCCGTAAATCTAATCCTACATATTTAAATGTTTGCCCCTGTGATTTATTTATCGTTACGGCAAAAGATAATTTAATTGGGAATTGGACTCTTTTAAAATGAAAAGGCAAATCATTTGGAATCATTGATATCCGAGGTATAAGTACTGTTTGACCAACCGCTGGACCAGTCAAAACTGTTGCAACGATCACGTTATTGCGAAGAAATTTAACCTGAAGTCGAGTCCCGTTACATAAATTTGGTGACTTAAGATTTCTAAGTAAAATAATTGGGGCACCAATTTTTAACTTGAGAGAATGTGGGGGGAGGCCACTCGGGTTTAAAGAATTAAGAAATTCCTGTGGATAATGGACTGCATCTTCTTGATCCATTACATTATCAATAGAAGTGTAGGTGACTATATCCCCTGGAAGTTTAGTTAAAATTAAATCGTTAATTTCGTCAACACTACTGTTTCTCGCCGCCAATATTGCTCGTTGACACATCCATTGATAATCTTTATTTTCTATTTCGACGATATCTGGGTAAACTTTTGATATTAAACTCTCAATGCTAGTCACTTTTTCTCCTAAATCTTGATCAATAGGTATTTTATTTTCAAAATGAGGTACTTTTCCGATTCCAATTATAAGTAACTTCAAAGGAAAATTTGTACTACCTCCCCCCAAATGTGCTCTCATGTTCGTAGATAGATTTAAGGTATGAACAAATTTCCATAATGGAGAACTTTTGAGGCAAGATTTTACAATGTCGGCTCTAGTTCCTCTTACTACTACTGGTAAAGTTTGCCGAAAATCCCCAGCAAACATGACAGTAATCCCACCCATGATTTTATCACAGCTTCTAATATCTCTAAGAGACCTATCTAGAGCCTCTACGTGAGCTCTATGAATCATGGTACATTCATCCCAGATTATTAAAGTGACGTCTTGCAAAACTTTTCCTAAAGGGCCATTTTTACGAATAGAGCACACGTCTTTCTATAACGAAACGGTTAGGGGCAGTTTAAAAGTGGAATGAGCTGTGCGTCCACCAGCTAATAAAGTTGCAGCGATTCCTGATGACGCTACTGCCAAAGCTAGTTTTCCCTGAGACCTTACTTTTGCTAATATCAAATTAGTAATGAAAGTTTTGCCGGTTCCGCCTGGAGCATCCAAAAAAAATATTTTTCCCTCATTGAAACGAACACTGTGCATAACACTATTGTATGCCATCACCTGGTCATTAACTAACTTGTGTTCATTTACAGTAATATACTCATTTACTTCATTTACATCGTATGGCTTCCGCAACGCTATTTCTAAAGGATCCAAATTATAGTGTGTGTTATTCCTTTTTGTTGCAGGAAGCCCAAAATCAGTTAATGATTTATCACAAATCTCATGAATCTTATCTTCAATTATGATAAGTCCATCATTGTATATGTCATCACTATATGCTAATGTCATATCCTGGGTCTCATTACGCATTCTGTATAATATATCTTTTGCAAAATATGAGAATTATGGTAAATAATTCTCTTAATTTTGGAGCCGGCTCGGACATGACAGCATCTGACATAGTATTTTGCCAATGTTCATCTCCCTCCAGTAAACCTAATTTCTTGCAAGCTCCTTGATAAGTATTGAAAATAACACCATTTACTGTCCTTAGATGTTCAAATTTTCAAAATAGTGTTCATTTACATCAATACATCGCTGCATCCGATGGAACCACTGAGAAAAGCACTTTGCCCACTCGTCTTTAGGGGTATCTTCGACGGCATTTTGAAACGCAGCCACTGCTTCCTCGGCGTCCATAAAACGTTTTCCTCTAAGTTTTTCTTTTATTTTCTTAAATAAATAAAAATCGCAAAGTCGCGAGGTCAGGGATATAGGGCGGGTGACCCGGCAATTCCACGTCTGACGTCGCCAAGTAGTCGATTGTTTGCTTTGTGGTGTGTGACGAGGCGTTGTCGTGGTGAAGGAGGAACCTACTGCGAGATCGTTTCTCCCGAACTTTTTCCAAGACAAATCGCAAACAATTAGTGTACCACTCTGCAGTAACTGTTTTTCGATCCTCTAAAACAATACGCAACGTAATTACCTGTCCTTCCGAAAAACGAGGCCACCATCTTTTTATCCCACGCTTCGACTTCTCTTCATTTTAGTTGGCAACTCCTCGGAAGGAAACACCCATACAGCAGACTGTCTCTTAGTTTCAGGATCATAACAATAAATCTAGTTTTCGTCACCTGTAAGTATGTCGAACACAGCACACGTCACCTCCTAAATCTTTGAACCATTTCCCGACACCAATCAACACGTCGGAGTTTTTGGGCCTTTGTCAAATTATGAGGTATCCACCAGGCACAAAGCTTCCTGGCCGCTAAATGTTCATGGAAGATTTTGTGCACTTGACTCATACTGATGCCTAAGCTTGTCCAAATCTGCTGATAAGTCACTCTTTTGTCAGTCTCTATCATGCGCCGCACAACACTGATGTTATCTTCAGTTATTGCCGTAGAAGGCCATCCCTCACGCAGATCATCGGTGAGATTAGTGCGACCACGTTTAAACTCATTAAACCAGTTGTAAACAGTGGCACGAGATGGGGCTTCATCGTGAAAGGCCAATCGAAGTCTATCATAACTTTCTTGTTAACTTAAATGACATCGAAAGTAATAAAAAATCATTGTACGAAAATTTTCTAGTACTAAATTCATTCTGACGTGACAGACAATTTTCAATTTGCCGCCAAATCTTAAACAAATGACAAATGAATAAAATACATACACAATAATATTGGTAAAGAGTTACATTTTCAAAATTTTTACTTATTTTTTATCATATCGTTTACAAGTGGCCATTTCTAAAAACTTACAGTGTCGCCCTCGTATGCATAACGCAATAACATAATTATATTAAAAATATTTGCTAGTATTTGGTTCTGTTCTAATATATTCCGGCCCCTGATAATATAGTATACTGATGATAAGTATAAATAAAATTTGAATGAAAATAAGTTTTCTTATCAGTAACAGCAAGGTCTCAAGCAACTTACCTTCTTTTTATGAATCATTTTGAGCTCCCTTAATGCAACCTCTTCCAAATGCCTTCTCTCTGCTTCCTCTTTTATTTTCATTTGTGCTATTCTTCTAGACTGACGCACGGGATTGTCATTATCTGCTGGATTTGTACTAGTAGCTTTCGGTTTCTCTTTTTCTTTTGACTTTGACTTTTTCTTTAACACCCGTTTGTTTGCTTTTTTACCTTAAAATAAAATGCAAACATTAATTTCATCTGGTGCATATATTAAAAATGTATCATTAAACTCTAAATTCTTATTTTTATATACCTAAACTGTACAATGTCTCCTCTTCTGATTCGCTGGAACATTTTGTCATTAGTTTGGCTTCAACTTTTTTTCTGGAATGCAATACATTATTAAGTTATCAGTTTTATATATAAACTATATCAGTTTTAGATATATTTCATCAGTTTTGGATTTGTTTTTTAACAAAAAAATACTGAAAACTGATTTATAGTGTACAATCATTTATAGAGTTACTCAATCTAAACAAGAAAAAAGTTAATAATTGAAAATCTAGTATTAAAAAACGTTAGTTGGTTTCCGTCATAATAATATTATGTCTAACAGATTAAGGACCAGCAGAAAAAAAAAGATTTAAGTTTTTAATAATAAGAAAATTACTGACTTAAAATAAAGCATAATACACCAGGTATTAGTAGATATTAGTTTTTAAATCAGTTTAAGTTTGATTCAGTATACCAATCATAAAATTGTTTTCAACATTATCATCATCATCTGCTGAACGTAGGCCTCCCCCAAGGAATACCACAAAGCACGGTCCTGAGCCGCCTGCATCCATCGACTTCCTGCATGTCTTACCAGGTCGTCTCTCCAAAAGAGGGAGGACACCCTACACTAAAATTATTTTATAGTAAATAATATAATTTCAAGTAAAATAAAATAAAATATATAAAACTTTACCTTGATGCAGTCATAATTTTTTTTGGTTTTATTTTTAACCGCTTTCCACTTGTCACTGGTTCTTCTTCTTCGCTTTCACTCTGAGATTCAGATTTATTACTTTTGTCATTTACTGTGGTGTTTAATAAACTTCTCTTTAATGCTTTGCTGCTTTTGTTATCACTAACTTCTACCTTATCATTATCTTTAACTACTTGACTATTTTGTATTTTATTTTGAAAAAACTTTTTACCCTTTAATTTACCTTTAACAGCTTTAATTTTCTTTCTCGTTGAAATAGAATCTTTGTCATTTTCCGAATTAACATCATTATTTTCAATATTTTCAATTTTGGTATTATCTACATCATGAGTATTGGAATGTGATACATCATCAGGTTCTGGTGCCGGTTCTAAGCGAATTTTTTTTAGAGGTAAGGTATCCTCTACCTTTGTTTCTTTATCTGAACTTTCATCTTTAACATTTTCAACATTTTCTGTCTCTTCATGTTCGGACGATACGCTACTCTTTCTTTTTTCTATAATACTGGATTTACTATTTCCGTGACTTTTAGTTTCTGATAAAGAGTTCACAATTTCTTTATTTTTTCTTAGTTTCCTTGTGCTCTCTCTTTTTTTAACTTTCACTATTCCCTTTTTTTCCTTAATTTTACTTGAACTTTCACAATCAGTACTTTTATCATGTACACTGTTGTCTCTTCTCAATTCCCTTTCACTACTTGTTGCATTTGAATTGGAGCCATTCGATTTGTCTAAGTTTCGCACACAGTGTTTTTTTGAATCCGACTTTAAAACATCAGTATTATCATTGGATTGTTTCCGCAAAGACCTTTTTGTAACTGATGGTAGCCTATTTCTTAATTTAACACTTTTATTTAATCTAATTCTATTACTACATTTTTTTACATTGTTAGTATGACCTCCATTAACACATTCCTCACTAGCATTATCTACATCTGAATTTTCTTGTAATTCAGTATTATTTGCTTGTTCTATTGCTTCAGGGTTTCCAGTGCAATTGTCATATCCCCAACCATCTCCATAAATAAACATTACAGGTTCTGATATCTCTTCACCAATAATGTAGGAACTTTCACAATCCACTCCATTACCCTCCCCTTTAATAATCATAAGAGGTTCTTCTATCTCTTCACCAACTTCATCTTTCTCATATTTTTCAGATTCATCTCTGTTGTTTGAATTTTCCTCAGGGCTATTTGATGAATCTTCTTTAGAATCACTTTCTGCTTTTCTTTTCCCACTGTCTCCTTTACCGTTTAAATTGTTTACTGCTACGAGTTTATCTTCTTCTGTTTCTGTATCTTTTGTGGTTTCTGTCTTCTTCTCTGCTCCACATTTTTCAATATTATGATCATCACTCTCATTTTCAGACTCAGATTCAGGACTTAAGAACTCTTCTTCATTGTCTTCCTCAGCTTCCGATTTACTAGCCTGAAAGTGTAAAAAAACGAAATTACCAACAAAAAACACTATACAAAGTTAAGGTGGATAATTTTTTTGTTCAAATTAAATATATGAAAGTCTTAGTGTGACTTAAAATTTACCTAACCTTATAAGGATGTAAAGGTTTAGCAAATGGATTATTAGCAAATAAAACCAAAAAGTATCACACCTCCATCTGTGTTGGAATATCGGCACTGCTGGAATCATCATTCCCTATTGGTTGAGATGTTTCTTCACCACTTTTCAACTGACCAATAATTTTGACAAATTCTTCTCGATTGCTACAGTAAAAGTTTAATATGTAGCATTAATAAAACATTATTAGCAAAAGACAGAGTCATAATAGTTCAGGTCCTGGACAGCCTTGTGTATATGATATATTATTATTTGTAACATAACTATTTTTCAATTGGAGCACAGCAAATATAAAAGTGAGTAAATGAGAATATCAAGACATTATGTAAATGTTTTAAACTTTACTTAATTTAAATGTTCAATTACCTTTCTTTAAAATTTAGTTGATCAGATATTTAAAAAAATACTAAGGTTTTTTTTTTATAGGATAAAACTGCGGCTGCGGCTCATAGACATCTACATCTATCCTCTATTACAAATCAAAATGTAGATGCGTTGTCACCCATGAGGACTAAGATGGAATGCCTCAGTTCCAGTAAAAAGGGCCTCCAGCCACCTGCACTCACCAAGCAAAACGCAGAGGTAAACCTCTACTTCACGCTGGTTTTCTGTGAGGTCGTGGTACCACCCCGGTTTGAGCCGGCCCATCCGTGCGACAGCAAAAGCTGCCGCATGGCTCTACCACTGTTTACTAGGTAGGTAGGTAGGTCCACTTATCATGATAATATGCTACAGTAACTTGGAACTAACTACAATCACAATTTACTAATCAAAAGCTAGACCATCACTGTGCTTGTATCATAATAATGGTCGGCACAAGTCACAATCTGTCATATGGCAAGATACTCAAAAGCTACTACTCAATTTTAAGATGCTGTTAAGTCTTGTGGTATCACAATCATTTTAACTTAAAGTGATAAAGACAGCATGAGACATCTTCAAATTGATCAGCATTTGAGCACAGTAGTTAAATACTACTTATTTATTACTATGGAATACTTTTACTACAAGTTAAGGGTATAAATGATTATATTAAGCTAGTCTTTATTGTAAGATCACATATTAAAAACATATTTGCATGGAAGAAACCATGTCAGGAAATTAGTGAGTTGGAAGTGAAAAAATGTAGACCAATAAAATTGCTTTATGTAAATATTAATGAATATTTGTTTATAGTTTTAAATATAACACTGCCTACCAAGTGTAATTTATATTCATACACTTTATTATAATTCACAGTGAACTAAAAATAACCTACATAGCTGGCCAAAGGAAGCCACTTCGATTGGGCATGGTGGGACCCCATCACATGCATGTCAGTGAAGTGCAGTAGGCAGTTGATCTTCTCACCCTGTCTTCCACAGGAAAAAAATTACCTTGCAATTAACTGCCATGTCTCCTCATCCTGATCTTCTTTATACAAACATAAGTTAGCTTCATGATCAACCTGCAGCCAGTATACACAACCATTTTTATCTCTACCAATAGGATCAAGTCTGAGATCTTTACTTGATATTGCATTTACCGCATTTTTAAACTTTGGATGACAAGTGAATTGGTATTCAAAGAGTAACTGTGGAGAAGAATAAAAATATATATGAAACAATTGTAGTGTAGAAAATTTTACTTTGCTTCTGATAAAATTAATTAGAGATGTATCAGTCAGTATACATCTTCAACAAGTATAAATTCAACAAAATTAAAATACAAATTAATTAAAACAGTAATGTTTATTTTTTTTAAATAATTACACAATGAAGTCAAAATTATCATTAGATCTGGTTTAATTTTAACAAGGATCACTAAGAAAGAAAGATAATTAATAACATACATACATTTAAAAAAAATTCAACCAGTTTTAATTATCACAGAAAATATAAACATTTCAAGAGTTAAGATTCATTATTGTTTAAATTAATTTCATATAATTCTATCATATATATTACATGGTTAGGGTTTCAAATAAAGTCACCTTAATAGGCAGGTGAGGGACGGAGGGTAAGGGGTGGAGGAGCGGTAGATTCGCCCCCTTCAATTATTATATTTCATAATGTTCCACCTCCACAAGTACTCCACTATTGCATCACCAAAATTCTCTAGATTATTGTAATTATCTTTATTTTTAAAACGCCTCACGGCTCACCATTGTGACATCCTTTGTGTGCGAGTCCCATTAAGAATTTATAGTAATTTAAGGTCTATTTCAAGTATTAATTAGTGATTAATGAATACTTTTAGAAAATGATTTTAAATATTTCGACACAGCTCCGGCAGCTAAAATTGCAAGACCCCTCCACAGTGACAGACTCCTCAAACTCAGGCAACTTGATTCTAAACCCAACCCTATTACATTATTGTAACAAGAAATTAAATACACATTGATAGTGACGATAAATATGTTTTTTTTTTCATAACTTCTAAGAAAAACATTAAATTACCTTCAATATTCTCAACTTAACCTGAGTGCTAGCTTTCTTGTAAGAAAACCTCTCTATTTCCCAAGCTTCCTGATGATATCTTTGTTGGTGACAGAATTTTATCAAGGCTCTCTCCCAACGATTAACCTGAATGGACTTAAGCGCTCGCCGTAACAACCTTATATGTAACTCTTTTAACGGATCCAACACTAAAATAAAAAACTTACTTAGATGTTTGTTTATATTACACTCATAGTAATGTTATCTTTTTCATACCTTCTTGAGTATTTTCAATCAATTCTTGCAGTTTAGCTATCGTAGGTATTTCTAACCCGTACAGTTTACCGAAAACTTTCAAAAATGAGTAAATAACAGCGAAATTGGGATCAGTCGTACATGAAATTTCACCATCAGACGCCATCGTCGACAATATTATACTCTTTTGCTAAACATCGCTCAGTAGGTAATAGCAGTTACCGGTATGAGAAGGACACACTTAACTCTACAGGAAATTTATAAAACAAGTACATTGTTCATGAAAATAGCTTCATTTTTAATTACACTAAACGCTTCATTCCTTATTTTCTAAAATAATAAAATAAAACTAGATGACAGCCATCGCACCATAGACAAATTATATTATAAATTGTTGAAATCATAGGTGTAAATTGTTTTTACGACTTACCAATTAAGGCGAGCAAAAGTCAAACACCATACGGCCAACTCTGATGCGTATTTTATTCACTTAATTCTTTACAATATGCTGATGCATAACATTGCAAAGTTTTGGGCAATTTTGATGACACTTAATCCAGTGAACAGTATATTGCGATAGTATTTCAATCCGGAAAAAACCTTTTTTTAACACCATGGAAGCACTTGTGACAACGTTTTCATTAATATAATATAGTTCACATGCGTATACATTTAACGCACAAACTCGCATTACAACTTCTAGGTATCGAAATCTATTTAGACTATTTTTAGTCTATTTTTTATAATATTTTTACGTGGTAGAGCCATGCTGCAGCTATATATGTAGTAAAGTTGTAGCGCGAATGGGTCGGCTTGACCGGGGAAGGACCACGTTCTCACAGAATACCTGTTTTTCTGTGTTTCGTATGGTGAGTGTAGAGAACCGCATAAGGCATTCCATCTTAGTCCTCACGGGTGACAACGCGTCTGCATTATGATTCGCAAACGAGGATAAATGTAGATGTCTATGGACCACAGCAACCACTTACCATCAGGCGGACTGTGTTCTCGTTTGTCACCTATCCTATAAAAAAAAGACTATTATTTAATCAATTCAGGTGCGAAAATCTGTCAGCGTTTCTGCCAAAACCCCCTAACTTATAAACTTTGTAATTTAGCATTTTGTTTTTAAACTGTTTACATAAAGCTATGATGATGTTTAACTTCAGCCTATGATCATAATCATTACTTTGTATAAATGGTTTAGACTTATGATTTCAGGTTTTATAATCACAAAAAATAGACTTTGATGTTTTATTATAATAAAAAGTTTATGCAAGTGTATTAAAATTTTATGAAATTACCAAATATTCCTAAAGAAGATGATTATATACGTAGTATCCACTAAGTAGTCTGTGATGATTATTAGCGTTGGCAACTTGTTAGAGAAGGTCACGTTATAAGTTGCAGCACGTCAGTCTTACAGAGTACCTTTGTATAAACCGAAACGGTCAGTCTAGCGGTGACCAAAGAGAATATAACCACAACGTTTAGAGGTGACCACAGAACACTAATACCCTGCGGTGACCGTTATTGCGCATAAGTCAAAAATAAGGTATCATGGGGTAGTAAGCGGTTCGCGGGGCGGGCGTGCGCATCGTTCGCACGCGCTGTTTGGCTCTCCAGACGCATTCCATCCCCCGTACTCATACGATACCCCGCACACTTTCAGTGTACAGTCGCGTTCTGAATTGTATTGTTATTGCTGTTAATTTTTGTTGTTGTTTTTGATAAGTTTGGGTTTGTTAATATGTTTTTATTAAGTTTGTTTGTGAATTTAAACAGTGAATATGCCTAGAAAAAATACTGTTTTGAGAAGACAGGCACGGAAAATGGTATATGACGTGCATTGTTTCTTGAAAAGAGAATCTAATAAATAAATTGATTCTTTAAAACAAATCAAAAGTAAGATTGGCGAAGCTACGAGTATTTTACTCAGTCATTATAACAGCACCACTTTAAATTTAAGCTGGACATAACAAACTGCAGAAGTTATTAAGACAGTAAATATGAAATTAAATGGTATGATCAGTGACTTAGTAAAAATCCAAAAAAGGACAGCAGATTCTACAGATACGTCAATTGCAACCGTAAAGAACGTCTCCACTCAAGTGAATAGTTCCGATTTAATTAGAGTGTTCAGAACACCTGGCAAATAACGTTCCCGAACAAAAGCGGTCACAAATATCGATAACATTCACCAAAAAAATAATAAAGAGGTGCATTTTCTTTCTTTCTTTACCTTTAACTTTCACAAGACAAATAATGAACTTCCTACCTTTGAAAAATAAGTTAGAGGAAGACATACATTTCAAAGGCTCAGAACGAAGTCTTCGGCCAACAGTTAAGAGTTTGGGGTTTCGATGGAAAAACACCGGATACAACCGGAAAGTGCTGAGACTTCAAATATACGTTTGCAATGTTTCGAATATTTACGTAAAATAAAGCAATATCGCCAAGAGGGAAGGCCTATTCTATATACGGACGAATCTTACCTAGATTCATAGCATTCTTCTCCAAAACCCTGGACCGAAGGGTCTCAAAAAACAATTTCGAAAGGACAGCGAGTTGTCACTATCCACGCAGGGTCCGAAACTGGGTTTATACCCAATGCGTTGCTGACTTTTAAAGCTGGTACCAAATCAGGCGACTACCATGACAATATGAATTTCGAGAACTATGAAAAATATCTCAGAACTCAGTTAATGCCCAACCTGCCATCCAATACCGTCGTGGTAGTCGACAACGCGTCCTAATCCTATCATAATATGCAGTGGGATCTCGCACCAACCTCTAATTCCAAGAAAGCTGACATGTAGGCTTGGTTCACTGAAAAGGGCATACAGTACGATGACACACTACTTAAACCTCAGTTATACAATTTAATAAAGGCAAACATGTAAAGATTCAAAACATTTTCGAATGACCGAATTCTAGCTAAACAAGATCATAGTGCTAAGACTACCACTATACCACCCAGATCTAAATCCTGTCGAAATGGCATAGCCTGATATAAAACAATAAGTTTTACTAAATGTACAGAGCTAATCTAAGGAAAAGTTTTACTGATGGGTGCATGGGATTGGCAAAAGTTATGCAAAAAGGTGAAGGATATAGAAGAGCAATATGCAAAGTGTGACCATGTCGTGGATTTGGTAACAGAAGAATTCACTATTCGCGTTGATGAAGATAGCTAGTGCAGACGACCGAAGCGGCCCTGAGCCTGGGCCGTCAACGAGTAAAAGTCCCTGTCGACACACCATTAAAGATGTGATACCATTATTTGATTCAGACCAGGAAAAGGGCAGAATAGGTTGTGTAAATGTATGTAATCGTCTGATCGTCATTTTGCCCATCTCTCATTCAGAAACTAGTTCCTTTTTTATATCTAAAATAAAGATTGAAAATTCGTGAATGTTTTTATTTTTCTACTATCTCAAAGAGAATTAAATATATAGGTATACTATAAAGAGACATAGGGAACAATTGCATACAAAAACTTTGAGCTCGCGCGTGTGTGACACCCTCTAGTTAAACATAGCAAAACTACGCTAAACATTTATTAGAAAAACATTTCAGCTATCCCCCAGTAAGTGAAGCTAATAAATGTAAGGTAAAGACCCGTTTTAGGAATATTACCGTCTCGATATCAAAGTGTCGATAATGTTGTTAAAGATTACTAAGTTTGTAATGCTTTACGATATAATAACAGGGAATATGCATGCTTTCCTTTTGTATAAATCTATTTATTATGACTCCCGTCACACCAAAAAAGTCATATAAACTTTTTAAGTCATGAATAACGTAATGAATGGAATGAAATGTCATGAAATAAAATATTTAATTTCCAATAGCTAAGAGGCATAGCTAAGGCATCTTGGATGACGTCACTAGGTCTATTAGACGCTATAATGATATGATTAAATATACATTTAATATAAGAAAAATATGGGTAGGTCGGTCGGCGTCAAAGGCACATCGCGAAACATCAAATCTAATAAGCGAGCGCCTCAATGTTTTCAAATTTATTTCTTTTACAAAAATACACTTTAAATTTAACAGATTTTAGAAAGGCACTGAACTTAAAAGTCGTTACACGATAAATTATTATACAAATTCACAAGTTTGCGCGTTTACCGCTAACACGAACATCTTTGTAGTATCTCCCAAATTTCAGAGCACTTCCCTTTTTGTCGCAGCCAGTAGCGGAATCTTCGGCGTCAACATATTGAATGACCTGCAGAAGCATGGTCAGTTGGAAGAGAAAGCTAAATTGGCTTCTATAAAGTTTAGGGTACTCCGTAGAGCGGAACAGTATTTCATGCCTATACATAGTTTGCAACTTTACAGGCGCAGGTTCGGCCTCACATGGAATAATGTTCTCATCTTTGGGCCGGGGCTCCCCAGTGCGAGCTCCTTCCACTTGACCGCATAGAGAGCAGAGCGGCTCGAATCGTCGAGGACCGAGTTTTCTTTGATTGGCTCAATTCACTGGCGCTGTATAGGGATGTTACATCCCTTTGAATTTTCTATCGTATTTACGACGGAGAGTGCTCTGAGGAATTGTTCGTATTAATTCCAGCCACCAAATTTCACCAACACACATCGCGACAATACTTACGTTACTATCCACATCATTTGGATGCTTGGCGGCCCACTACCGTGCGATTTATTAGGAGTTTTCTTATGAATCGTTTACCATCGTCGATTTTTAAGGACCGATACAACTTAGGGACCTTCAAGAAACGAGCCTACTCCTTTTTAAAAGTCCAGCAATACATCTGCAATTCTCCTGGTTTTGTAGAATTATATTAACATTTTAAAAAGAGGGCTATCTCATTGACTGGTTGTACTGGCTGACATAGACGTTTCACGTTATAACCAATAGCTGTGTGCCTTGGACACAGGCCCACCCGATTTCTTTATTGGTATGGGTACAGTATCGTTTACTGTTTCACCTCTTTAAATATTGTAGGTGATTAAATCTGCATCCTGTAATAATATTTTATTTTTATTTAAATAATATTTTTATCGATTGCACCTATAGTTAAACGATGCAGTATATTTACGTCATACTGCTGGACGCAGGCCTCCTCTCATTTCTGAGAGGGTTTTCGGGCAAGGAAATGTCCGCCGCGCTGCCCCAATGCGTGTTGGCGAACTTCA